TGAAATGTAATACATATAATTCTGAAAACATTTTTTCCCGTTTTTATATTTCCAACAAAGTATCATAGAGATTCCGAAAGTTGTTTGTATTGTTTTCTTCAGCCCTAATAAAGATATTCAATTGTCAATTTTGGATTTTTCCCCCATGGAAGAAGACAAGTCGGATTGCCTTTTATCTTACTATGTCAAATGTAACATCAGCAATTCTTAAAATCAATATGACAAGTTTGTGTTCGTATGTCTTAACTAGAAAATAATAATGTTTGTTACTGCAAATGGCAAGGAAGGAATATGTGATCTGTCTCTCTTTTCCCTTGCTAACTTGTTGTGCATGACCCCCCCCCCCCACTAATTTGTTGCACTGTAAGTACAACTCCTCTTGTGGATTTAAGTTGCTGTTTTATTACTTTTATGAAAACTTAAAGCCATCATGCTTTATTGCTCATTTACTTCTGTTAATGAACATGTACCCATTAAAAAAAAGAGTGACAGTATGGGTAGGGGAAGGAAAAAGAGAGAATGTGTGTTGTTTCATTGCTTTCAGAGCTTTTCATAACTAGCCGAGCTTGCTGAGATCATGTATATCAGATGTTTTGTGCTATTGCTTTTACTAATACAGCATCACCACTCTGCTATGCTTGTTATGAGCAGTTGTAATAAGACAACTTGTTTAGGACAAGGGAAGCTTTAGAGCTTATCAGCTATTGTGGGTTCTTGGAAGCTGAGCACACTGCTCAAGGAAGAAGATGCTCCTTTAACTTCATGAAGCAGGCAAAGGCCGTTATTTATTTTGATCAGTGAAAATTTGAGACAGTGGTTTTGCATAAAGCCACTTATGATATCTGCCATAAACAGAACACTGGTTTGCATCTTCATATCACGATTAAAACCAACTCGGGTTAAAATACAGCTCTCTTCCTCATGTTTCTTTATTCATTCGTTATACATAGAACCTCCGAAAGAAGCATATTTTGAGATAATTTGAATGGAATGGAGAAGTAAGCCGTTGTTGAGGAAAAGAATTTCCTTCCTTCCTTCCTTCCTTCCTTCCTTCCTTCCTTCCTTCCTTCCCCCTAATGAAAACAAGGAATTAGGGCCAATTCAAATTCCTCATAGAAGCAACTAGGTCAGTCAGTTTGGCTTGCAACACTTCAGACACGATGCCTTTTGCCTTGCATTTCAAACAAACTCTATCACTAAAAAAATCCAGAATTGTTTTTTTCCAGTTAATGATCTTAAATCTCACATTTCCCAACTGTGGTTTAGAAAGATTGGGGAATAAAAACGGTCCTGCCTTGAAGTGCCTCAAGAACACGGTGCACACATTGTGGAGAGAGAATTGGTTGTTTGAGAGACTTAAAGTAAACACATGCCTATTTACACGCAAACACACACACACAAACACTGACAACATATGGGAGGTTACTACCCTGTGTAATGGCGTCCTTTCTGTAACAACTATGTTGTTGAAAACAGCTGCTTTTGTACGGATAGAGATAATCTCCCACTTTTTACTTTGTGTTAATGATATTAAAATGAATTTGCAGAAGTGCTTCTCAGTGCAGTGGGTTCCTGCTATAACTGATAAATGTAAATTCAAATTATTATGAACATGTCACAGAGGACAAAAATAACTACTGTTGTTTTGTGACATAAATCGGAGCTTTTTCCCCTAACGCTACCAGCAATTTAACAGTTTCTGACCAAGTAGAGCTGGTACATTAAAACCATGGAATGCTAGCTAGGACAAAAGGAAGGAGAAGGGCCAAAGGGAAATAATTTACCTAATTAGTAACACAGGGCACGTATAAAAATCAAGATACTTTATAATTCAGATGCAAGAGAATGAGACTTAGGGAATATTCTAAGATATGGCATTAGCAGATATTACAGAAAACAATTAATTTTTTTCTGGATAAATGGAATGGATTTCAGAAGTTAATAACAATGACCAACTCCCAAACAATATTACTTTACACTTCATGCCTCCTCTCCAATCACTTTTTTAGAGCAGATTTTTTGGCTCAGCTTTGAACTCAGAGACCTATAGAGAGGTGAACCTCTGAAGTGTCTCATTTGGGACAAGAGTCAGGCTTGGTCTGAATCTAATACTCATCCCTTAGGAAAGTTTAGATTCTGAGGAGAAAGTTGGACAATCAGAAGATTGTCTTGCAAGTATCCTTTATTTGGGTTGTGAGTCTCACTTCTTAAGGTAAATACAGAGGAAGGTCTCACTGAAAATTTCCTAGAAGTACAACTGCTTTGTCCAATCTGAAATACTATTTAAAAAAAAAAAAAAGAATTGTCCTCAAACTATCAAACCATTGCCAATTGGGTCTTGTGTTTTCATGTGATTTGCATGGCCATTAAGCAAATCTCTATCCTCAATTGCAAGCAATCCGTTGACAGTAATAACCGTTGGTAACAGCTGGTGAATAATCTTGATTGAAGATAATATTTTCATTTGTGCACACTTATTTTTAAGAAATACGAGTACAAATGTGTAATCCATATTCTATATACAGTACTATTCAGGAGATAAACAGTACTTGCCCTGTGCTTTTAATATCCACAAGAGCTGTATTAATGAAACATGGGACATAAATCTATTTAATTTTCATTTATTATTCATATTTTGCCATCAGTATAAAACACTTTTCGAAATAATGAAATGAAAAATCTTTGCCCTGAAACACTTATTTCACAAGAGGAAGGTGGGTGTTTGCCTTGGAGGTGTTCACTTTAGTTTTGGTTACCTGTTTGGAAAAATATGGAAACTTAACAGTGTGTCAGCAGCCCAAATAATACAGTTTTTTGCCTGCCTATGTTCAGATGTTTCCTGAGTATAAGTATGGAACTGAGGCACCAAGTAGACTACAACTGTAGCTAAATAAAAATATTTCTCTGCTCGATTCCCTATAGATCAGATGTCCTGCTCAAATTTAGTAATTTATTTTCTGCTTCATGATTAGATAGACCATATGACCCAATTCCATTGCTAAATCTCAGGGACAGACGGTAACACTTATAGCCATATGTAGAAAGTGCAAAAGATCAAGTTTTCCTGTAGGGCTGTTTGCTATGCTCAGATTTAGCCAGGAGGAATCTGGCAATTAGTCCCAGGTCAAATCAGAAGCGTTTGGGCAATTCCTGTTTAGCGATGGAGATAGGATGCTTATTGGATAAAATTTAAAAATCTAATGGTATGTAAGTATACAAGGTGAGGGATTTTTAAAAAAATCATGTCGTTTCTTAAAAATTGTACAATGCAACTGTATTGTAAATGTTAAAAGAAGCGTTATCGTCTGTTATAATGTAGTTTCTTTTTTTCTGTATGTTCCTGGCTTTAAATTTACTGTGACAAATATGCTGATGTTGATTAGATATCATTAATAGCTTCTATATTTTCTGTGGTCCTATCAAGATAGATCACACTGTAAGGAATCTGCAATGCCTATGAAAATACAGTATTTAAATAATAAATTAGTCTGCGGATGTTCCTTGAGTTGATGCCTGCAGAAAACCAAATACACATAGTCCTCAGTTAACAATTGTCCTGTTTAGCAGCCATTCAACTCATGACAGTGCTGAAGAAGTAGGTTTACAATCAGCCTTTGAACTTACGATAATTAAAACATCCTCATATAGTTATATAATTGCAAGTTGGGTGTCTGGCAACCAGCACACATATATGACAATCGCAGTGTCTCACAGTCATGCCATTGCCTTCATAGCCAGCTTCCAACAAAGTCAGAGGGAAGCAGACTGTAAAACACAAGTCCCAATCACGGAATGTCACACTTAACGACTGCAGATTATTCTCTTAATGATTGCAGTGGAAGCTGTGTCATAAGACAGCAGGTATGGTCACATGATGTTTCACTTAATGACTGCTCAGTGATGGAATTGCTGGCTCAATTGCTGTCATTAAGTGGCAACTACCAGTACAGCCTTCATAAACTGCTTAGCTGGATCAGTCTTCTCCCTACTATTGAATGTTGGTACTTCGGTCCCATAGGCCCAAAGTGGTATGACAGTAGCTTTCTTTGTTTCAGTAAATTTGATGTGATACTAGACAAGAGAACTGTGAGCCAATTGTTCTCTTTCAATATTACATTTAATGAATGCATGGGCCGGAATTTGAGTCAGATTTGGAGCAATAGGAGAACAAGATGGAAAGAGAAGAGAAAACTTCTGGATTTAACCATTAGTAAATGCGTCCCCAAATTGTTATCCATGCACTTTAGTACCCTGTCCTGGCTTGACTGTTTTTATTATTCACATCTTGTATGCACAGAAGTGCACGACTACATTGAAAAACAGGACAGAAAGCAATTCTGATGTTTCCTGGCACTCAAATTATTATTATTTTTTACTGACACTTTCCTGAACGTTTGTGTTTTGTCCATGAACAAAGGCACAGGCTCAACGGATTGAACAATAAATAGTCAAGAGAAAGATCAATTCCAGTATTATTTGAAAACAAAATCAGTTGATTCATGATCTCAAAATTTGGGGGAAATTTGAAATAAACCTTACAAGTAAAATTGTAAATTACATGTATTTCATGTATGCAGTCTTTGAGAATATCTGTTCAGTAAGTGGAATTTCTAGAATAGGCTGCTTTTAATGAATTGACAATTTAACAGACAAAATATTAGATATCACAGGTGAGCTTTTTAAATAGTTAAGTATTTGAAAAAAGTAGATTCACTGGATGGGAGGACATAGCTAAAAGGATTTAAAGGGCCATATTCTTGTTTTGTACACTAAATTCTGAGATTTGGACTCAGATTCCTACAAAGAGAAGATGTCTTCACATGTAATTAGAAATAAACATTAAAAAGTGACTATTGGTCATTGCATTTATTTGTTGGCTATACCCCATGATTTGGTCTGTTACATGTCCAATGTCACACTTGATTCTGTACCTGATTTTCCTAATTTTGCTGTATCATTAAAATACTCTGATGTAACTTGCTGTATTTTCTCTTCCTCAGGTCCAGGCCAATGTAGAGAAGTCTTTGACACTCTTTGGGCAGCTCTTGAACAAAAAGCACTTCCTGTTAACTTTTATTCGAACCTTGGAGGCCCAACGCAGCTTCTCCATGCGCGACCGGGGTAATGTGGCCTCTTTAATTATGACAGCCCTACAGGGTGAGATGGAATATGCCACTGGAGTGCTGAAACAGCTTCTCTCAGATCTGATTGAAAAGAATTTGGAGAGCAAGAACCATCCCAAATTGCTCTTGAGGAGGTGAGCATTTATATAGGATCCTCTTAGTAAAAGGATTTGTGTGGATTCTCATTGATGTCAGGGTATTTTGTGTTTTTCAACAATTCTGACCATAGATTTAGCACTAAAATAATAGATTGTCACCCATAAATAGTTATTTTCATATCTGAGTATTTCTCTAAAACAGAGTGATTGCTATTAGATGGAATATTCATCAAACTGAGCAAGTAGGGGAGACTTTTTTGGCCTTTAGTATTTCAATTATGAATTTGAACATTTATGAGTGTGGTAAAAACTTAGAAGCTAGAATATTTTCATATCTTTGCAAGTCAAATATCAAAACAAGGTGACAAACAGATTGGAGGAAATGTTTGTTTCAGTAGACAGAGATATCAGATTTCTGTTAAATGTGAGAACAGACAGTTGAGTGTGTCAGCATCTCTTTTAAATGAGATTTTAATGTAGAAGTCTTCATTATGCACCATTTTCAACAATATCTACTCTGTGTTAACATTCTCTGCAGAATAATTATATGCTTTATTAAACGAATAATAAGTTTCTGTGGGGGGGATGGGTATAACCATGAAAATGTGATGTAAAAAAATCAAAGGGAAAATAAGTTTTAAAAAACTTTGGAAATGACCATGTAAATGATTGTACAGCATTGAAAGGACAAATGTATGCTTGATTTGCAATAGTGGCTTACTGCTGTGTTTTATTTGTTAGCATTTGAGTTTGTTTTGTTTTTTTTACTCAACAGAAGGCAAACAAAAGGAATAGAGGATTTTGCAATTTGCTCTCTTTTTCTTCCTTCTTTCAACTTATTTCCTTCCTTTCTTCCATTTTCCTTTCTTGCGGGTTACCACTACTGTGCCACATACCGTGTTTCCCCGAAAATAAGACCCTGTCTTATATTTTTTTGAACCCCGAGATAAGCACTTGGCCTTATTTTCGGGGAGGTCTTATTATTTTGGGGCACGTGGAGCAAGACGGGGCTCCTCTTGCCATCTTACCTGATTTCCAGCTCTGTCTCCCTGATCCTAACCAGAGGAAATGGTGGGGACTGGCTGCGCATGCGTTTAAATATTTTGGGGGAGGGCTTTTGGGGGAGGGCTTATTATCCAGGGAGAGCTTATTTCCAAGGAAACATGGTAGATACTGTATTTTTACAAAAGTCTCTAAATCTGGGGTTGATTAGTTCATCACAAATAATGTCTATTGCAAAGTTTCTGTCTTTCCGTGGTATTTGTTTCTGATGGTTGGTAGGGATGTATGTATTATTTTACACATCTTCTTTCTTCATGCAGTGCATCAGGCCTCTCTTTGCCATGTTATTCTTTCCCAATTGTTTCTTCAGTACTGCTTCTTCAACCTCTAAGAAGTGATTGTTTCAGAATAAAATAAGCAGATTTTCCTGAGTATTATCTCAGCATAGGCGGGAGATGAGTACATGTCAAGAACGTATTCCATTTCCTTCATGTGTCTGTTCTGCTCCATCAGGTTTTTAAACCTTAGCCAGATAGGTTTACTGAATTATAGCCCAATGCATACTGAAAAGAAAAAAAAAACAACAACTAACTGCAGGATAAAAAATTATTACCTGTGTACTAAAATATAGATTTGCTAAGTTCTTTTTTCTTTTTTTCTTTTTTTTTCTTTTTTGAGCTTTTAACAATCCACTTTTGCAAAGGTTAATTTCCTTATCCACTTAGGGTTTAGATCAGTTCACAGATGAAATAGTAGTTTTATTTGTTGTACAAAAACAGGTTTATAAAGAACATTGCCATGTACATACAGTAAGGTAGATTCATGTTCATAAACATGTAGTGGACATATCAAATAGTGGAATTGCCAAACGGATCTTCTCATGCATACACTTAATTCATGTATCTGAGTGTTTGAAGTCATATGTCAGCTACTTCAAATAGTAATTTAATTGTGGCAATCTGAACTGTCACATATAATCTTTCCGTTAGCTGGATGTAGCAGTGTGACATTACTAAGACAATGCCCATTTTTTGCATGTTTTTAAAAGAAGGAAAATGGAAGTTGGGGACGGATATATGATTACACATTAGAAGGATTTCTTTTGGAACTTGGTACTGTTTCTTATATTATTACATTGGGACAAATGATTCTTTGCTACACTTTTATTCAATGAGGAAACCTCGGTGAATTCTGGCTTCTAGATATATTATCTGGCTTCACATATATTATCCTTTCTTAAGTCTGTAAACAGTATATGCCTCCTAAAGATAATGTATAAAGTAAGCCCACATTGTGAATACTGTCAACTTCATTATCAGCTTATCCCTAAAGAGGCTGGTTTCTGAACATTTTACTTCTGGTATGTATGTATGTATGTATGCTTATATGTATATGTGTCAATATCAATACATTCTAGAACTGAAAAATAGATTCAAGATCACAAGACAACAGAGAAAGAGAAAGTTAGTTTTGAAGAAGAGACAGCAAATGTTAAAATATTATTGTTGTGTGCTGTCCAGAGTCGCTTTTGGTGAGATTGGCAACTAGGCAACATTGATAGATAGATAAATAATGTGGTCTCGATGTGTACAGTATCATTCATAAAGTTTATTTCCCCAGTCCTGATCTTATAGTCTTTTCCTGTATCACTTCCTGCATAGGAAATGAAAGTTTTATTCTAGATCTACAACTTTCTTCCTCTGAGCTATTCTCAAGCCAGATTTTGCCTTTACACCAAGCCTTAACATTCATGTTCTATGAAATCTGTATTATAAAATGTAGTCCTACGGACATATGGCAATCTAATAATTAAGCCTTGACTACAGAAAGCCATCTCAGAACAGTGGCAGAAACCTGAATATTGTTATTTTTACTCAGAGCCAAGTTTATTCCAACAATTGGATTTATAAAACTATCTGAGCTATTTCAGACTTCTCCCTCTCCCCCCCCTCTCTTTTTAAGGGACACACATTTTTTCCACACTAGCGTTTCTATCATGCTGAATGCAAGCTGTCATTCTTTATCTTATAACCAGGCTGCATACCAGAAGGGAAGTAGAGGGATTTATTTAGAATATCTACTAGTTGGGAAGTAGAAATTAGGTCATTTGTGTTTAAATTTGAATCCAACAATTTCCACTCCTACCCTTGTCACAACTTACCAGGCCTATTTTTGTGAGGAAAGCAAACGAGGGATATAATAGGCAAAAAGCCAAAATGTGAAGACATTGTCTTCATTTGGTCAAGGCAGAAGGTGGTCAGGAAATAACATTTTCCATGGTCCTGTTCTGTTCAGAACAATCTGCACTACTTAACTGCTCCATTCTTCCTGATGCTCCTTTGTTTTATGTAGACTACTCAGAATCCATGTAGCTTCTAGACTTAGAGAATTGGAATTTAGATTGTGGTGATTTTGTTATTTTTCAATAACACTCTTTCCCCATTTCCTTATAGCAATGAAAAAGCTGTTACCTTCTTGAGGTCATTAGTGTTGCTTGTGCTTTTGTGATCATTTGAATATGAAATAGCTGATCTGATGATTAATAGATGGAGCAGTCAAAAAAAAGTATAAAGAAACAATTTCAATCAGAACCACCTGCATTTTTTCATGCTGAATAAATGTGCATAGTTTAAATGTTTGATAAATATGTTAATCTTAATGTTTACAACAGACATATTCATATCTCTGTTGTAAACACTTAAGCTTCTTAACTCACTTGATGCTATATGAGCTTTTTAACCCACATGTCCTTTTGGATGTCTCACTTTAATATATTTTTTCCCAGTGGTAAAAGGCAAGAACCAGAAGAGAGAGAGCGTCCCTATCTGGGATTTGCAAATTGATTTAAGTCCTTTGATTGTTTCTAAAAAAACAAAGATGGATTTTGAGAACTGGAGGAATCTACCCATCCTTCATTACTGTTTCATACTCATACTTTGCCCTCAGTGATTAGTGTTGTATTCTGGGTGGAGGTTTCCTCTTAGTGACCATTGGGTAGACCATCGCATGATATTTAATGTAAGTGGTTGCTGTCTTGTTAATAGCATTTAACATTAATAGCCTTATTTGTGGTTTTTACAGAGTTCTTTCCAACATAAATATTTCACTGCTATACAAGTTTTAAATTTGTTCAGGATTTGTCTGCATTCTACAATGCAGTGGGTATAAGTGTGTAGAATTTATAGAAAACTTGTAAATGTGACTTCCTTCATCTCTGCTTTCTATTTCTATGAACTGATGATAAGATGCCTAAATTGGGTTCTGAATTACAACATTCTGTGGATCCTCTCAAGTACCCTATATTACTCTGAAAGATTTGATGATGGTACTTTTGATGACTGGAACTTTTTGTTCCGAATAGTATGTAGCTTATAGAGAGAGGACCCTGTTTCACTGGAATGGACTGAATGGAGCCAAACTGGAATTGGCTATTATTAAGATTATCCATTCATGTTACATAATAACCTCAGTATTCCTTTTTGTTTTAAACTTATTGCCTTTCAAAATTTGACTATTTAAATCTTTAAGACAAATAACTAAATGTTTTAAGACTTCAAGGGATCACAGACTCCTGAAATTTCCTGTCATCATATTTACTTTTTATTTTTCTTACAGGACTGAGTCGGTGGCTGAAAAAATGCTCACCAACTGGTTCACATTCCTTCTGTATAAGTTCCTAAAGGTAAGAAAGTTACATTGTGTGAACCACACTAAGAGTGTCTGCGAGAAGGATGAGTTACCCATTTGTCAAAATATTTTATCTGTTGAAGGTTGACAGTATATTTGGCTAAAATACTATGCTGTGAATCAAGAACTCAGCCCTCAGATTTCTGAGGGCTGGTACTAAGTCCAACTCAGATTTCATTTTCTACAAAAAAGAATAACAACATTGAGCTGTTTTCCATCCCTTGCTAAAACTTTTTGTTACAAAACCTAATGCTATAAATGTTTAAAATATTCAATATATTATTTTAAAATCTTATCTGTTGGTGCAATCCGAAGGTTCTGCTTTGATTTAAAAAAATCTCCATTTTCCACCATTTTTAATCTTCATTATGAATTGGTTGGTGCAAAGTTGTGGATTATTTTGAATCCATCTGTGGCACTGATGGATATGTTGGATTAAATACACATGGAGAAGAGAGCTACTGAGAACTTATTTATGTAAAATACATCATGAATTCAAGAAAAAAGGGACCCCCTGTCAGCCCCGCCCCAACCAAAAAGGAAACATAGTTATTTCTAAGGAGTTTCCATTATTGTTTGTGCCTTTAGGCAGAAAATTTGTCAAACTGAAACAATTACTTGCATCATTAAATGCAGAGTTTAATGAGAACTTCTGAGAACTTCTATGTAGAAACTGTCTTGACTCGCTTTCTTCCAACCATACTATTTGCACTTTGCTATCTCTTGTTCCTCTGGAATGTCGCCTCCTCCCTCCTGGGAATCCAGACTACATTCCACCACACCAACCTCTCAAAAAACTCTGGAACCAGAGTTATAATAATAATTTACAGGATTCTTATGGTAGTATTATGGTCCCACTGATGGGTGTTTTTTCTTTTGATAATCACTTAGCATGTCATTATTTTTCATTGGTTCAGTTTTCCCTAGCAAAATCAGTAGGCATGAATAAAATTCTGATTCTTTCAGCACAGAGAATGTTTTTAATATTACCTGAAGTAAAGCTTTGAACTGCTGTACTGCAAATGAACTTAAAACTTTTGGAGCACATGGTGTGTTAAAGGAATTTTGAGGCACAGAAGGATTCCTAGGTTAATGGCAGCTACAGATCTATAAATCAAAAGTGATGCCTAAATAATAGGGTTTTGCCAGAGTTTTACTCAGTGAGTTGCTATGCCACAGAGTAGAGCTGCTTTTTGAAGAATACCATCCCTTGTTAAAATAAAGGAAGCTTGGCTGCTTTCCAGAACAAGTAGAAAGCTATGCAGATGGCAAGCAATCACAACTGAGAGGAACTTAATACCATTGGTCACAGGCATTCTACTCCTTGCTTCTAGGGACATCCTGTATCCTTGAAAATTTCTACATTGCTGTAGAATGTATAACGATTTGGAAAGGAATAAGAACAACAAACTTTTGCCTCTCTTTAAACATCTTTTCTGATATTGTCGTTTTAAATTATCCAAATATAACTACACAATTTATTTTATTCTGTGGCTGTGTTTTTACACAGTATAATAATTGGCAGAAACCAAGTAAGGGACTGACTTGTTTGATCCATGGTGGTGAAGTCATGGAACATAAGTATCTGCACAAGGATGGATGGAAATTTAGCAAAAAACCAGAAACCTGTTTATATTATACTAGTAGTACAACTAACAGCAAATTCTCAGTTATATGTACTATCTGAAGCTGATGATAAGTTTTACTTCTCCTGTCAGGGAGAAATTGTTTAGCTGGTAGATTTGTCACAAGTGTGCTGTTACCATACTTTGTATATTAAATGTAGAAACCATAAATACGGTCATGACTTATAATTTATTACATACTGTGCTTCAGCATAGGATTCAAACAAAGGAGAATGAAATATAGTGCAGTCTGGAAAATATGCCTCAAACTGCTTATGGAATGTTCCAAGAGCTGGTCTGGTATTTTTTTTTTAAAGAATAATGGTACATTCCCACTTCTTTCAAATATATCCTGATCCAAATTCCAGAAATAGGTAAAATGTATTTCCAGGTTGTGAATTTCTCACAGATTTCCCTTGCTTGCAGTTGTCAAGTTCCAAAACCCAGCTCGCCACCATGGGGCTATCAGTCATGTTGCTGCTACTTGGTTTTATTTTCCTGAGAGCTATAGTAAACCAGACAGTTAAAAGAAAGAAGCAAAAATCAGATTGGTCAAAAATGGACCAGCTTTCCTAATCCATCACTCGTTGTCATCTTTACACCCTATATACCTGAGGATTTTCAGTAGAAAAGAGTAATGTTTGCAAACAACAGCTCTCATAAACTAATGTCTGGAGAAAAGATTCATGCAATAACAGTGGGGGCGCTTATAGGGACATAATAAAAGTGTGTTACAGGTCTTGTGGTATAAAAAAAGAGGAAAAAATAAGAGTGATCTCCCAAGTCTTGCCTCATCTAAAATGTTAGGCAAACATGTCTTGCCAGTCAGGTTTCTGATGTATTAAGAAAGAAAAGACCCATCTTCTTTTCTTTCTCTCTCTCTCTTTTTTTCCCCCCTCTTGAGAGGTTTTAGTGGGCGAATATTGCAAATATTTGTCAAATAAGAAGGCATGGTTAAGATGTTTAGAAAAGGCTTTGCAAGCAAGCAGAATGTCAGCGGGTTTTGTTTTATAATCTCTTAGCCCAAACTTGTGCAGGCAAATCAAGCAAGTAAAAATATCTATATTTTCACATAGACAGCAAATTTTCGTGAAAACATGTCACTCGGGGATGCTGACAGGGCTCTGATCTTCAGGGGGGGTCCATATCTTTGATCCAACAATGACTGACGATCAGAACAGCAGTGCCAAGGAAGGCTTTCTAAGAAGCTCTCTGACTTTTCATACAGGATGCCACAGGGCAAATTTGTATTTATAGTCTTGCTGGCTGTTCTGTCATCAAATTGGGGGAAAGTATTCCCAAAGGTATAACTGTGTGGGTCACATGGGATTATATATTCCCTTGTGACCACTATATAATAACACGTCCAGGCCTGTGAAACAGAGAAAAGCTAGCTTGCCAAAATAATACATTGATTCAATCCCACTGAGAGATGAGAACAACATATTTTTTCTTCACTCCCCCATTTCCCATTTAGCTGTCTCTGCTGCAGAAAAGGTGGGAATAACCAGCTTCAAGAAATCAGCAAGCTTTGGGACTGGTGGTTTTGTTGAGGCCTCAAGTGCCATTTATCAGCATCCTAATGAGCCATCCTAGGGAAACAGGAAAGCGAAACAGATAAAGAGGAGCATTGAAAAATGCACAATATTAGGTGCCTGATGAGCTAAATCTCATCAATAAGACACTGTGTGAGCATTAGCTATACTGCCTCAGGCCTCTGCATAGGCACAGGCATTCACATGCCAAGCTCATACGTCCCACTGATTCCTATAGTTTCACCTCATTCTTCCTTTCTCCACGTATATTGGATTGCAACTCATTGAGATCCTAGCGAATGTAGCTATTGATTATGTTACTCAGGGACACTAGGTCAGCAGATGGCTATTCCATAACAAAATACACTTAACTGTATTTTGGGATAGGAATCATCAGCATCGTGTAGACATCATTATAAACACAATCGCAAGTTGTCTGTAGGATTTTTCATTGTTTTATTTTTGTCGTTGGTTCCTTTTCTAGATGAACTGAGCTTGAAACCACAAGCTCATTTTATAAAATGCATCCTATATTGGCTGCAGGAGCATTCCTAATCATTTGACATAATGGAATTTTTAGATCTGTGTCCTTAAAAGATTGAGCAGCAATTTTTTTTATGACCCTAGAGGAAAGTGCTATATACATGAACGCAGTTCCCTCTTCAGTTATGAAGTGTTATTTCTAATGTTGCTGATCAGGACTTAATCCCTGCTGTTTAGAAAAGGGAGAAAGGTTTGAGGTTGTTATAAAAAGATGTCAGGTATATGTCCCCCTTTTTAACAAAATGATGGTGGTGGATGTGTTTGTGAAGAAGAAAGAGGGATGTAGAGCTCTAAGCAGCCTGAAGCAGAATTTAGAATTTAAATGGAGGGAAACTCAGTGAATTGTGCTTTAGTGGGTTCCCTTTGGTTTAGTTTATGTTCCTATCAAGGCAGCATATTGTGCTAGGAATGGATTTATTTATTTATTATTTTAGTTTGTTTGTGAAATATACTTAGTTTTTTAAACAGGGCTTTTCCAAAGCTGCCTGTGGTTTAGCTATGGCCAAAATAATTATAAAAACCAGTATCTAAAATGACCTAATTGGTACACTGGAAGCTATAGCAGCCTCTGAAGCTACTGACAGTTCTGCATAGTTGAACTTAAGACATTAATCTTTGGAACAGAAAGCCAGGACCAGTTTTGCCATTCATGAGCAGAACTTAAAGGCCTCCAGGGAAGTCTGATATGGACAGGGTTAGTAGGTATGCAACACATTCTGGTAACTATCCTGCTTAGTCTGTATATCTTTCATTAGAACAGACAAAGCAATTCTGATTTTTGATGTTGGAAAACTAATCAAAATAGCCAAATGCCAAAATGGGTTATCTGGAGTCATTGGGAGCTAACAATCCATGAATAACAAAGAGCTGGCTAATACATTATTCGGCATAAGACTGAATTGCTGAAAGCCAATCACATTGGTTTTCTAGATAGATGCAATGGCCTGATTTTGTATGGCTTAATCCCTATTAGTTTGAAACTCTACTCTGTTTTTTAGTAAGCCTGTGTCAAATTCTGCTACTTCCCACTGCAAATAAATATTGAATCTACTAATTTTTTTCAAAAAAAAATTCTTCCACTGTTGCTTGATGAAGATAGATATACAAGTATGGTTCGGAGTCAGAAAGCCCAAGATCATCAGTTAGCAAATATAAAGTAATTAACAGGTTAATCCAGAGCTTTAAGAACTGCAGAACTTTTCTTTTTATTGTCCATTGCACGATGCATACTATCTCTCAAACCTCTCTAGAATAAGAATGGCAAATGGGTTAGTCCCCAGAGGTGCTTTTGAACAAGCAATCCACTGCTCTTATGAGCATTTTAAACAGCCCTGATGAAAAGGCAGGCACAAGCAGCCCCAAAGCAATGCGTGGCTTGTCAGCTGACTGCAAGTGGTAGAAAACGATATGCCAGGCAAACACAATAGACAAACGAGATGTGACCAAGGAGCCATCTTCAATTTATCCTCCGCCTAGACTTGCATTTTTGTAGCTGAGCGGTTTGCAGAGACCTTTTATGAGCAATCAAAAACTGCCTGGGAAGAAACTTTATATTTTTGGCTTCACCTGAAAGGAGAGAGAAGGACTAAAACGGGAGCATTTTCTAGGATGGATCATAATTGCCATGTGTGCCTGTTAACGGATGGTCATCATTTGGCTTGTGCATTACGAGGAGACAAGACAGTTATTAATAAACAGCGCAGCACCCACATTTCTTTCCCCCCAAGCAGACTTAATGAAGCCAAGTTTGCAAATGAAACATAATTTCAAAGACAGGCGTGTTGTCGGAAGGTCTAGGGATGATGTATGCCTGTTCCTGCTCGTTAGCAGCTGTCTCTTTAATTACTGCAGATGCTAACGAGATGCTAACAGCATATGGTGACAGAGAGAGCGGGCTCACTTTGCACCAAAGTAGAATTTGTTGTGCTGGTGGCCACCGGAATAAGAGGAGACTCCATAGAGGTAATGTAGAATATTGCCTCTGGGTTCCTAACATCTCATAATTTGAAGTTGTTCAAAGTACTGCAATATTTTGGGAATTAACTACATAGCAGCGTTACAGATCAGATCTATAATAATCTATAAATGTTGGAGACCTTATCTTTCTTCCCAGATGGCAGTTCTTGGAATAGTACCCTTCCTCCTTTGAATAATTTCTTTTTTAGCCTAATAATTTTAAACTCTTCATTGCTACTCCTTTCTCTCATAAACAATCTAGCCCCTTGTCAAATATCTCTTATTGCATAATACCGCACCCTTCAAAGTTTCTAATTTTTTCTTTCTTTCATCTAAGCACTGTGACCTAGCACATTTCCCTTAACTGAAATCTGAGTACTTTATTTTTCTTACACTTCTAAAAAAGCAGGACATAGATAAGGTTGCCTCTTTCAGAGTAGAGTAAATTGTGTTGCTTTTATCAGTGCAGGGAAGCTGACTCGTTGATTATGTATTTGCTTTTTTATATAATAAGAACAGCAGAGAACACCTAGAGAAATGAACTAGGAACTATAGAGGAAACAAGAGGAAGCATTTATTTCAAACCATCAGACGATTGTCTAGTTGACCTCATTACTATCAAATATGGAATCTAGCAGCACGACTAATAACATTTTTAAGGAATAAAAGAAATTTACAGGACTTAATTGAAATACAGATTAATGTAGGATATTGGAGTGGGGAAATTCACAGTTGAGAAATTTGGAGGAGATATTGGAGCTGCAAGTTTGTCTCTGAGCTTCTAGCAATAAAATATTTAAGAAACAAACTAGAAGTATTTATTTTATTTATTTATTTATTTTATTAAATATTTATACCGCCCTTCTCCTGCTGGACTCAGGGCGGTGAGCAGCCAAGAATAAAAACATCACATACAAAATTTAAAAATTTAAAAAAGAATTAAACAAATTTTGGCCCAATAAATTTAAAACACCCCAACTAAAATCAATTTACAGTTAAAAATATCCAAAAATATCTAAGGGGGGATTACGCCAGCCGAGCTTGATGAAATAAAAAGTTTTAAGGGCACAGCGAAAAGCACGGAGATCTGGGATCCTACGTATCTCCAGGGACAGGTCGTTCCAGAGGGCAGGTGCTGCCACAGAGAAGGCCCTCCCCCTGGGAGTCGCCAGCCGACATTGTCTGGCTGACGGCACCCTGAGAAGTCCCTCTCTGTGGGAGCGTACTGGCCGGTGGGAGGCTATCAGTGGCAGAAGGCGGTCTTGTAAGTAAATCTGCATACCTTAATTATTTTGTCTAGAGATTGTAACCGTAGTGTGAAAAAATAGAGAATGATCTGATGGCATCTGTTTTTTTCTTAAGGAGCAAGTTCTGACTGAAGTGCTGATTGGCTGAGGATTGATTGGGCTGTTGCCGTTGTCCTAGCAAAGTTCTTATTTCCTATACATGCCTTGTGTAATCTGTATTGCTTAGAATATGTGTTCTAAGCAATAGAACACATATTCTACCTACACTAATACAAAAAATTCAGGGGTTGTTCAATCAATCTTATCTCTTTCATATTTTTTTTTTAAAAGCCTATAGCCTCTTCAAGAAGCTCAGAAGCGAGGCTCTTAATGTGCTTTCAAAACCAGGCCAGGATTGGGCTGCCGTCTTTAAGGCTCTAGAAATAATAGAGTCTGTGCCAGAAATGATGCTTCCTAGATTCTCTGAGGATTTTAGTTATAAAGATGCCACAGAAAATATAGCCTTCAAATCATTGTGTATTGCTCTTCACTTAAATCTCTTGTTAAATCAAATTTTCTGAAAGGGTCTTCATTTGAACTTAAAATATTGAATCCTTAGCTTGGTTTGCCATTATTAAGTTACAATCCGTGGAGCTCAATGACCTTCAGTGAAATTCTTGAAACTGTTGTTTACATACACATTTTTCATTGCCTTTTTGTAAAGTATTTCTTGGAGAGATCTCTCTTTCTCTCTCTCCCTCTCTCCCTCCCTCTCCTCTCTCTCTCCCTCCCTCCCTCCCTCCCCCCCCTCTCTCTCTCTCACACACACACACACGGGGATGGGGGGTGGGGGGGAGAAGTCAGGAATTGCTCATTGCAAATACTGTAAAGATTTTTTTTTTCTTTTTAAAAGTTTAGACTGAATAAGCAAACTGCTATTTTGGATGAGCGATTAACAAGAGAAACCTTACCAAAGCAAGTAGAGCTACTTTTGGAGACAATACAGTATTGAATTAATAATTAACAAAATCCTGACCTTGCTCAATCTCGGTCATTTCTGTGTACATACTTTTTGTCCTACAGCAAGCATCCTGTAAAATAATCATTTAATTGAAGCATGAAATAATGGCTAATAAAATCAGCCTTTGATGCAGATTCTTCTAAAAGACAAGAATAGCAACTACGGTATTTCTCGTGCATACCTATGCAAATTATTTTGGAAATGAAGCATAAGCTTATATTGAACGCCCTTCTTTCTCTTTATCCTTTCTTCAGGAGTGTGCAGGTGAACCTCTGTTCATGTTATATTGTGCCATCAAACAGCAGATGGAGAAGGGGCCTATAGATGCCATCACTGGAGAAGCCCGCTATTCCCTGAGTGAAGACAAGCTCATCCGGCAACAAATTGACTACAAAATGTTGGTTAGTAACAGTGGGAATTTAACTAGGATGGAGTCTTAGTCCTCTGAGTTAGCCCTTCTGATAATAATCTGCTGGGGGTGGGGGGAATCACTATTTAACAAGGTAGTTGTTCCTTCATCAAGACCAATAATAAGAGAAGGAGGTAATATAGAATGAGAGGTGAGAATATTCTCTAATTTTTATTGGTATTCTCTAAACATTTGATAGAATAGTCCTGTGCTTCTTAAACTTTTTTCTCTTTCCACTTTTAAAAATTATGGAGGACCCCAAAAGAGCTTTTCTTTTCAATGGATTATATTTATTGATACATACCATATTTAAAATTAAAATTGGCATGTTTGCTGCTGCTAACTTTGTGGGGTTTGATGGTATTTTAATGTTATATTTTTTTCTTTAGATATTGAATTATAACATCCATACCATTACAGTTCTATAGTTGTGTGTGTGTGTGTGTGTGTGTGATGGTGGCTCAGCAGTTAAGACATGAGGCTTGTCGGCTGGAAAGCCAGCAGCCCAGGTTCGAGACCCAAGTGCCACACAACAGGGTGAGTTCCTGTCCTCACCCCAGCTCTTGCAAATGCAAACATGCAAATGTGAGCAGATAAATAGGTACCACTACGGTGGGAAAGGTAACAGCACTCTGTAATATCATGCTGGCCAAATGAATGCAGAAACGTCTTCAGACAGCTCTGGCTCAATGGTCTTAAAATGGAGATGAGCACCACCCCCATAATCTGCAACGACTAGCGAAGTAAAATTCACATGAATATTTTTTATCTAGATATCTACCTACCTACCTACCTACCTAAATATGGATATGGATGGATGGATCTATGCATCCATCCATATCCATATTTATATTGATATATACTTTATTTAAACTAAATTTGTATTTGCATGATCTCTGTAGACGCCATACGCTAAATAAATAATTTTCCAGCAAAGACTGGCAAATACTTTTGATTTCTCAGATCCCTCAGAGATGCTTGCAGAACTTTAAGAAACATTGGGTTAATCCCTAGTACTAAAGTTTTAGTCTGAATCCTTGGAAGAAAAAAAAGATAGGCATTAAAATACAGACATATCACATTCTTTAAAGCCCCAGTGGGCTATAAATAAAAGTTGTTTTCTAATGTTAATATTAATTCTCTTCCTAAAACAAAGGGGGAAAAAACCCTCTTCCTTTGTGCCACATATAAGAACCATAGTAACTATTTTTTTATCCAGGAATATGAACCATGACAAATAGAGATGCTAGGTTTAGATAGCATATACATCATTCATAACAAGCTATAGAAGTATAGACATCTGCCTTTTACTAAGTCAGGTCATGGACATTCTAGTATAGTTGACTCATTACTTTAGGTTTTTAGATTGGAGATTCTCCTATTCAGAGATGCTTAAAGTTGGACTTTGAACCTTCTGTTGCAACCAAGTGATCTATGTCGGCTATGATTTTCCCTATTATTTTCAAATGAGAACATTCTCCAACAAGCTTCTCCCTCAGATTTCCTTCCTAATTAGAGTGGAGTGATGCGTTTCAAGACAGGTTAATGACAGCCCTTCCTGTCATCCATTTCATCTGAGGAAAGCTATAGTGTTATGCAGAGCATTCCAGGACACAAATGTATTTATATTTATTTTATTTTTGAAATTTCCACGATGCCCTACAAAACCAAGTTTTCATATTACCAAAAAAAAAAAAAACGTTTAAAACTAAAGCAATCATTAAAAAAGAAAGAAGGTAGTTAATTTTTTAAAAAAAATTTATAAACTTTATTAAAACACATATAAAACACACATAAAAACATTTACACAACAAACAACATGTAAATAAATTAAACTTTTGAAGCATTTGTTTCATATTAGTTTTCCAATTAGTACAGTTATAGTTATTCCCCTTAATCTTGCTCTAATAATTTTCTTTTTCCTTTCCCCCCCTTACTTTCATCCCCTAAGAATTCCCCCCTTAGTAATCTATATAATATATATTGAGATTATATCTTTCTTTTTAAGTTTCCCTCTATAAATTTATCCGCCCGTAGGGAATTATTTGTATACATATTTACATTTCTATTCTATCTTTCTTCTAATTGTGTTTCTTCAATAGTGACGTTGTACCATTGGTACCATTTATCCCATATTTTATAGTACTCTGTCTCTTCTTTTTCCTTTAACTCTTTTGTTAGCCTATCCATTTCAGCGCACTGGGTAATTTTGTCCATTACTTCTTCTTTTGTTGGGATCTTTTCCTGTTTCCAGTTTTTGGCATAGGTTATCCGCGCTGCAGTTAGAATATGTATCAACAAGTATTTTATTTCTTTAGGGTATGTTTTTGTAAAGATTCCCAACAAAAAAGTTTTTGGCTTCTTGTCTATTTGTAGATTAGTAATTTGTTCCAGCCATTTCTTGATATTGGACCAAAATTTCTTTGCCGCCGGGCACGTCCACCATAGATGGTAAAAGATACCTTGTGAGTTTTCCAACATAGTGAGCTATTTTTCGGATGGATTTTAGCCAACCTTGTAGGCGACATATGCCACCTGTAAAACATCTTCAGCTGGTTTTCCTTTTTTTTTTAATTGAAAAGTTTTACAAAAAACAAAAATTTTCTTCCCCCCATATTCCCCCCACCCTTTTCCTCCCCTCATCCCACCCTCCCCCCCAGACTTCCCAGAGCAAAATACAAGGTGTTTCATTTAACAATCATAAACTAGATTAACCTACTTATCCTCAGACTACTAACTCCCCCCCCCGAAACCTTAACTCCACTATAGATAACATAATACTTCTAATACTTAACGTTCATTCATAAGCTATTTGATATTTTCTTGTCTGATACTTATTTTGAATATAGTCAATCATCTTCTCCATTCCGCTACATATCTTTCTTGTGTATAGTCCTTCAAGTACGCTGAGATTTTCGCCATTTCTGCTAGGTTCATTACTTTCAATATCCACTCTTCAATAGTAGGCAAATAGTTGGTAGTGCATATTGCGTTACCAACAGCCTAGCTGCTGATATTAGATTCAAAATCAATTTAGTCTCTGATACTGTACAGTCCATAATTATACCCAATAGGAACAATTGAGGAGTAAATTTCAACCTTCTTTTCAGAATATTCTGCATCACCCACCAAATTTTTATCCAAAATGCCTTGATTTTCTTACAGGTCCACCATATATGATAATAGTTGCATCATTGCATTCACATCTCCAACATTTAGCTTGCAAATTAGAGTACATACATGATAATTTTTTAGGATCTAAGTGCCATCTATAAAACATTTTATAAAAATTCTCTCTCAAATTTTGTGCTTGCGTAAATTTAACATTTCTGACCCAAATCTTTTCCCACGTTTCCATCATCACTGGTTCCTGAAAGTTTTGTGCCCATTTTATCATACAATCCTTAACCAATTCCATTTCTGAATCTATTTCCAATAATGCATTATACAACCTTTTAATATGCATCTGGCTTTGATCTGTAATCTGTTTCACCAGATTTTCCTCATTTTGCATAACACCAAATTTTTGATCTTCCCTCCATCTAGCTTGAAGCTGACCATACTGAAACCAAGTATAAATTATCCCTTCTTCTTTTAATTCATCTAAAGATTTCAGTTGCAACTTACCCATTTCCAAAAAAAGAAGCTCTTTATAAGTAATCACCTCTGTTTTTTGCTCTATACTTATATTTTCTATTGCATGTCTGGGATTTGCCCATATGGGTATCTTATAGTTTAGCTTATATTGGTACTTTTTCCAAACCCTGGTTGGTTTTCCTTGTATGCCACCGCTAATGGATAGTTAAGTTTTTTTATTCTTCCCTTTTATACAGACACTAAACTGTGTGAATCCTGAAAATGAAAATGCTCCTGAAATTCCAGTCAAGGTCCTAAATTGTGATACCATCACACAAGTGAAGGAAAAGCTGTTGGATGCTGTGTACAAAGGAGTACCATATTCCCAAAGACCCAAAGCAGGAGATATGGACTTGGGTGAGCAATGGCTTCTTGTGTGGTTAGGATAAACAGTGGATTCATATTATAATCATGACATAAGGGTTATAAAACTCCAATAGAAAAGATGCATCATTTTTTTTTTAATTTCATTAAAGGAACTGCATGTTTTTCCAGGCTCATGTGGCTGCTTCAGAAGCTACTCTTTATCTTTGCCACCTGTATGTATAAATGTAGCCATTTTACTTTCTTTTCCCCACAGTTCTCTTCACACATGACCTTCTATACTTGTTGATAGATACAGTACCTCCCTGCATGTTCTAAGGCCATATTTTAAAACTATCAAACTTGATGGCAGTTTCAAACTAATGACTCAGGAGAATAGGCAGAGGCTGAAAAGAGACAGGATTGATTATTTATTTATTTATTGGCAGCTCAATTGATAGTATTTTGATAAATGGCTCTGCTTTATATGAGGAAGAATAGAGCAAGAGCTACAAATTGGTATGGTTTTCTAGAAGATAATTTGTTTATTTATTTTTCCATCCACCCAAAAATGACTGGATAATTTACACAGTTGAAAATTGAAAAAGCAATTTTTATATAAAAATTGGTCAGAGTGAGCAATGAAAAAAACAATCCCCCCTCCCCACCGTCTGGAGGGCCCCTATGCCAAGCTCTGAAGAACGAGTTAACGAGTTTTTGAGGACTTTCTTGAAGGCAAGTAGGATTGGGTATGGGGGTCAAGCAAATTGTGAAAAGGATGCTGTTCCAGAAGGCAGATGCTGTAGCAGAGAAAGATTTACTTCCCAAACTACTGAATTGTCTTCAAGAAGGGCACTGTCTGGAAAAGGTTCACCATTATTCAGAAGAAAATGGAACATTCTGGAATTCTCTGGAAAGATCTCTTCCCATTTGGCACATTCCTAGTATTTTCTTAGCAAACTGTGAATAGAATTAAGTTCTCTAAGAATTAAGGATCAAAATATGCATAATAGTGACAATATCATAAAATATGTTAATGATAATTCACCTATAAGAAATAGATTTTCTTTTTTGTGATTCAGTTATCAGATAGAATACAAACGAGGATGAGGATGGTGATGATGATATCCCTTCAGTCGAGTCCTTAGCAGAAATAATTGGAATAGAACAATAATAGTTTAAAATGGCTAATATATGGAAACTAGACCCATTGTATAGCAGAATTTGCAGGAAGATTAGCTAAATTTGGTAAACCTGTTTTGGTGCCTTGACTGCAATGATAAATTTTGCTTTAATCCACAAGTGAAAAAACAGATTTGTCATTTAAAACTGGATCCAATAGCAAGAAAGACTCTCAGTTTGGGTAGAGATTCTCCTTTTTGAAATTTATCGCCCCTAAGTCTTTCCCTCAGAAATGAGCCCATAATATTCTTTGGGAAGAAGCTAAAGACATAAAAATGGGCAAGAGGTGATTCAGTATTCCACACCTGAACAACTTTTTGCTCCAAAAATTAAGCCCTCATATTTGAAACCTACATGAGTCAAAACTAGGTAAAAGGAATGTGTAGCTTGAGACAGATGCTATTTGGTATGCAAGGAAGGTCATTTTTCATTCTCAAAGAAAAATGTTATTATGATGTATTGCTGATTCTAGGTTAGCATTTTAAACAAGTTCATAATTGCAAGAAGTAATAAGATGTAATACCTGAGAGATGATGAGAACAGTAATCTCATATGAATAAAGTAGGGAACTAAATATTTTCAGGGCGAAGGGAAACTGACATAATCCCAGTAGTTGAGATGACAATGCTTGTGATCACTGAATATGTAAGACTCACAGGATTTTAAAGCAGAAGGTTGTTGATTAAGCTGGAGATATTCTTGAAAATTCCTCCGAAGTTGAATAATTTGAAGTTTTGTGGGCAGGGGGTTGTTTTTGAGTTTGTCTTTCACTTCCGTCAACCACAGCTTCCTTGGCAATCACTTCAGAATTGATTTGCCATTTTTTTTCCCCTAAGTGTGGGAAATCCAAGTCACCAAGGAGAAAATAGCCCTATTACATTAGATCCCAAACAGATTTTCCTGGCATTATTGTTGCTAACTTCAGCAAGACCGTAATGGGGTTTAGAGTGGGGTGTGGCTTTTTAAAATGGCTTCTGCCATGCCTCATTCACATGCTCTCCATGCCTTTCATTCTGTGATCTGTCCAAAGTGAGCACGATCCCCAGTGACCCCATGCCCTTCTCTTCCATCGGTGCAGAGTGGCGGCAGGGCAGGATGGCTCGGATAATTCTTCAAGATGAAGATGTCACCACAAAGATCGACAATGACTGGAAAAGACTCAACACTCTAGCTCATTACCAGGTGTGGTTGTCCTTGAGTTTTTGCCAGCAGTGGTGGAAGAGACCTGGCATCTGAATATGCTATCTATCTGAATAAGATACATACATTTATATCATATATGAGAGATGGATACTACAAACAACTGTTGTTATTTATTTTACTATTGAATTAGTATTGGTGGGAGAGAATAGGATGGAAGTCTAGGCTAGATTCTGGTGTGTACATGCGATGAGTATTAAATAATGGAGAACATACATGGCTCAGGATTGTATTGTTAGGTTTTTGGTGTCCTCTGAGTTTGCTTTTCTTCTTGCAGACATTTCATTATTAGGCTAGACAACATCAGTACACAGATGATGTTAACTAGCCTGGTAATGTTTGTAAGAAGAAAAGCAAGTGAGAATACTAAATTGTAAACGCATTTGTAGAGAATGAAATGAAAGCTTCTAGCTCTTAAGTTTAACAAAAGAAGCATTAAAATTATGTGCAAGATTGTTCTGTTTCTCTGTATTCTTCCTGACAAGGCCTGGAAGAATCCATATGCTGTCCTGTGTGCTTTGTCTTTGATCTGTCCACTACAAACAATTGAATAAATATGCTCTAACAAAGCAAGAATGAAAGAAGAACAAATTCTAGACAAAGCTGAAAAGCTTTCTATTTTTGTGCCAGGCAGATTTTGAAGGAGATAAAACTCAGGTCAGATCTGGGAATCCCAAGGAATGGAAAATGGCTTTTTATTAAGAAGAAAAAGAAAGCTTTATTCTGTTTGTGTTTACATTATGAGAGAATGAACTGTCCATCTTCTCAAATTTTCTAAGAGGCTCTGAGAATCCACTGAATAGGGAGTTAAACTTGCTATTTCAGCTTCCTTTAGTAGGGAGCTCAGTGTTGGTCGGTTGGAGTGAGAGAGAGAGATTATGGATCTTCAGTCTTAATTTTGGTAATATTCTCTACAGGTAACAGATGGTTCATCTGTGGCATTGGTGCCCAAGCAGAACTCTGCCTACAACATTTCCAATTCCTCTACTTTCACAAAATCACTCAGCAGATATGGTGAGTAAATGAGAAAACATCCTTGCCATTTTACTGTGTAGAATTCAGCAGCAATCTGGGAATTAAGAAAGAAAGTCTTCCTAAGTTAAGAAAAAGCAGACTAAAAAGGATACCATGCTTCAGTCAAGCCTCTTCTAATGACTTCCTTGGTTTTGTATGACCTAGGCCTATTTTATAGTAATTCAGCTAGCTTCTCCCAGTTAAGGCTTTTGCCTCTGGTTGCTTTTCCTAGTTTAGTTATACAAAATCCGTATTTCTTCACTGTGTTTTCTTAAAGCCACTGTGCTTTCATGTGTCCTATTGGTACAGGATTAAGAGAAGCAAGGGATCTATTATAAATATTTAAAATATTACTGAGGAAAAAAATTATTGCAGAATCCAATCTGGGTCAGTCACCAGGATCAGAAGTCTGCACAGCTTTTGAACATGTGCTGAAGCCCATCCTCCAGGAAGATTCAGATAGAGAGAAGTTTCCTGAGGATGGGCTCCCACACAAGTCTGAAACCACACTAAACCTCTGGTCCCGATGACCAACCCGACTGGATCCTATACCATTATCCTGGGACATGCTTATTTGCCTTCATATGTGAAAAAAAATGCCACTTATTTAGAATTGAAGGGTACTTGCCAGTAGGTTTTAAATATAATGAGCTTCCTTCATTATTCATTAGATCCTTTCAATGAAAAAAAAAAAGTCAATAATCTCTCTTTTTCTAGGGCCAATTAGTTAATGAAGTTTAATTGACAGGGTAGCCCAAAATATATCATATTTCTTGATGGTATGACAGACCATGCTGTAAGTTAAGTGAGGTGGAGAGAGGACAGCAGAGGCCAAGAGTCAGTGGAGGAGGGAGAGGCAGTTGCCATTATATGTGGTTTCCTCACAGAGAGTATGCTCCGGACAGCTAGCAGCCCTGACAGTCTCCGTTCCCGGACCCCCATGATCACACCTGACCTGGAGAGTGGCACCAAGCTATGGCATCTGGTGAAGAATCACGATCACATGGATCAACGAGAAGGTGATCGTGGCAGCAAGATGGTCTCAGAAATATATTTGACTCGTCTGTTGGCTACTAAGGTAAATCAGAATGGCTCCTAAGTCCACTGTAAGAGTGGAGTAGTGTTATAAATTTGATAATAGCAAGAGCAATAGCAGTTACACTTATATACCACTTCACAGTGCTTTACAGCCCTCCCTAAGCGGTTTACAGAATCAGCATATTGCCCCCAACAATCTGGGTCCTCATTTTACCCACCTCGGACGGATGGAAGGCTGAGTCAACCTTGAGCCTGGTGAGATTCGATCTGCCAAATTGCAGGCTGCCGGCAGTCAGCAGAAGTAGCCTGCAGTACTGCATTCTAACCTCTGTGCCACCACAGATCTTAATATTTCATCATGAACTCTATCCTGTTCACCATTTTTCCTAAATTGTTTTATATACTTACATGAATTATATGCATTGCACCAGATTTTAATTGCCATCTATTAGGGTATGGGGTGTAGTGAATCCTGCATGTGCGGAGGATTGAACTTGATGTCCTCTTAGTCCCTTCCAATTCTATGATTCCATGTTCCCACTGTTGGGTTAGAGACAGTCTCTCCCTCCAAACCTGATCCATAATCAGGAGATGAATATTAGTTGATTTAGTCTAGGGCTTCCTGCCTAAGCAGGGGTTAGACTAGAAGACTTCCAAGGTCTCTTCCAACTTTGTTATTCTGTCCTATTCTAGTGGATAAGGTACCAAGCTAGGAAGCAGGAAACTGTGAGTTCTGGTCCCACATTATCGATGAAAATGAGCTCGGTGATCTTGGGCCAGTCTCTCTCTCAGTAGTGATTGGTGATTTTACTGCCTCTGATGAGTAGTCTGATTCCTTTGATCTCATCACCTCCCATTTCTAGCCTTTTTTTATCTGCCCTCCCACTAAACCTGCAAAGATGAGTATTGCACCCTAGCTATTATCAAAAGGAAGATGGGATTCCAGCCTCTAGGTGCTATAATCATTGATTTATCCAGCTTCATTGTTCATGCACTTGATGGACGCCCTCATTTTACCAGTATTCCATATCAGCAAAAACCCAAGCGAAGGAGTATTAGAAATCCAGTGGTTTATGACAGAAACACAGAACTACTCACAATATAATTGCTACACTAATTCCTGAAGTAAATCAAATGGCCAGTAGATGATTTGTATTGGAACAAATCAAAATAGTACTCTGTTTTCAGATTCTGAAAAATCCCAGAACTGCAGAGCTAAATTCAGCTCAGCTGAATCTATCCTAGCCAAATCATAAATCATAGTAATCTGCAAGAGGAATGCTGGTTGCTGTATTGCTATTGTTTAACGTGTACAGTTTTAGAATATATATATAACCTGAAAATTCCAGGGTACTGTTCACTTCTTCTATGAGCAGCAAAAAAATCTAAGCAGTAGAAAGCTTTTCTTTCTTTCTTTCTTTCTTTCTTTCTTTCTTTCTTTCTTTCTTTCTTTCTTTCTTTCTTTCTTTCTTTCTTCCTTCCTTCCTTCCTTCCTTCCTTTCTTTCTTTCTTTCTTTCCCTTCCTTCCTCTCTCTCTTTTTCTCTCTCTCCCTTTCTTTCCTCCTTTACATCACTCAAGGCATCTAGAAATTTTGTCACACTTGGTTAGTTTCGTTTCTGAATATACAGGTTACACATAATTTGAACATTCCATCAGAAAGGCACAGATGAGAGAGAAAGTGGAGCACCTCACTCTCTCAAATATTTTCAGAATTCCATCATGGATTTTTTCCCCCTCGCTTTCATAGGGAGATACCTGGATTACCTCAACCTGAAGGAGAGGAATATATCTACATTTTAGATTTTTGTTTCATTTCTGAATATACAGGTTACACATAATTTGAACATTCCATCAGAAAGCACAGATGAGAGAGAAAGTGGAGCACCTCACTCTCTCAAATATTTTCAGAATTCCATCATGGTTTTTCCCCCTTGCTTTCATAGGGAGATACCTGGATTACCTCAACCTGAAGGAGAGGAATATATCTACATTTTAGATTTTTGCTGGCTGTTGAAAGGCACAGTTTTTGAAAACACTTTCAAAATTCAAGATTTCTTAGCAAAATGGCCTTTACAGTTTTGCAGGGGCTCTGAAAGAAGTCTGCAGTGACAGTTTCTCTCTCCTATACAATTTTTCTGCAGTTTTTTAACCATTATTCTAACTAAATGTGTTATATGTTTTTCAAACTCCAGTATCTGGATCCTACATGAGATGATAACTGAGAGGATTATGGGTTTAACTTTCATCATAAAAAATCACTGTCTTGGAACTATTATGAAAAGAAAAAGAAAAAGCAGTGATCCTATACTTAATTGAATACTGAACGAGATCTCTGAAATAATTTAGATTGCCCTATGTAAAATCATATATCACTATCACATATAAATCGTTAAAGTGAAGATTTGTAGAGAATGGATAAAGGCACAGGAGCCAGTTTAAATGAATGGATATGACATGGGTGTCCACAGGGTAAAAACATAGCAGGATAGCCAAAAGAGTGCCATTGAAGCTCCCCCTATTTTTAATGCCTTCCTTCCTTCCTTCCTTCCTTCCTTCCTTCCTTCCTTCCTTCCTTCTTCCTTCCTTCCTTCCTTCCTTCCTTCCTTCCTTCCTCTCTTATAGTTCTCTTATAGCTTCCCCAAGTTCAGTTCTAAATTCCTTTACAATAGCCCATGAAAAGCCGGTTTTATTTCATCCATTGGTGACACTTCAGTTTCTTATTTTAAAGCATGTTTTAATACCAGTGAAATATTTTAGCCCTTCTGAGAAGAAAAAAAGAATGCCTTCATTCTATTGTTGCTTTTCTGTTTATGTATATGAATGATATATTATGTAATGCTGAACAAATATCCTCTTTTTTTTTTTTTTTTGTTCCAGGGAACTTTGCAGAAGTTTGTGGATGACCTTTTTGAGACTATCTTCAGCACAGCCCACCGAGGGAGTGCCTTGCCTCTGGCCATCAAGTACATGTTTGACTTCCTGGATGAACAAGCTGATAAGCACCAGATCAATGACTATGATGTCAGGCACACTTGGAAGAGTAACTGGTAAGAAGATGCTGTAGCTCGGCAGTAAAGCACATGACTTGCACTGCAGAAAGTCCCAAGATCTCTTCCCAACTTCTGAAGGTCAAGCTGAGGCAGAGTGGATACCTGATGGGTCATTGTGTAGATAAATATTCAGCTAGGTAGATCAATGGTTTGTTTCTGCAAGACGGTTTCTTATCTAAGCTGCAGCTGGTATGTGAAAAGTTGGGGGTAGCTAACAGGAAGATGTTTCTTTCAAAGAGTGCAAACAGCCTACTGTAGTTTCTGCTTTTTCAGAAAATAGATCAGAAGGTTTAAGAAAATTACCTCAGTTGCATAAGAAAGTGCAGCCTCAAAGCATTTGTGTTATTCTATTCCCTGGTATAGAGGAAGCTTCACATATACACTCACTTAAAAAGGCATTTATATTAGGCTACAATATAGCGTATATCTAATTCACTTGTTGAGATGGGAGGCTATAGAAATCAAATAAATAAAAAAAATACAGTTCTGTCAGAATAAAAATTCTGTAAGTTTATATTATGGGACATCATCTTGCTTCACCAAATACTTCAAAGTCCCGCTCAAAACCAGCGTTTTCCAAATGATTCAATAATGGGATGATTCCCATTTTCCAAATGATTCAATAATGGGAACATAATCATTAAGAGATCAGTAAAATAATAGGGTTGCACAGTACTGATTCAAGGCAAAAAGGTGTTCAGAGTGCTGGAGAAAATCTAACCTTTGGGGATATGGCATGGCTGCCTCGGAGGGACAGACACACCGTACCAGAAAACAGGGCAGCTCCTGAAATGAGCTGCAAACAGGTGCTGCATTCAGACCTTTGCACGCTTCAAAGCACCTCTTAATCTTTGAATTCAGAAGCGATTCAGAGTCTTAATAAACAATAAAAGCGGCAGCTACAGGAGAGCAGTTAAAAATCTTGTATGCAGCATTTTTGTTTATATAGCCAGTTATCAATTTGCTGGTGAACTGTATTCCACATTTACCTTCGAATGTGATAGGGAAGTTATTCTCCGCATGCTGATTTGCATAGCCTTAAACTCCGTCTCGCTATTTATTTCATGCTATTGGGGATTAACGTGCTCAGTGAATAGTAAGAAGCGGCAGACACTTTTCTCTTCTTCTGCTGCCTTCCTGATTTGATCACTGTTACTGGGGATAGGAATATACACTCTGATCTCTGGTATTTGTTAAATAGCAACCAAATTGCTTTTGTAGTTCAGTAACTGTCAGTAATTAGCAAGGCAGGAAAAGACACATTTTTAAATGGAGTTATGAGAGCATGGAAACATTTGGAACTGATTTATCACTCGGCTTTCTATATTAAAGGAAATAGCTGCTCTGGGAGGAAAAACGGGGTAGGGAAAGAATCCCAATGATGCAACTCCACAGAGCCCAGGAAGGCAGGCAGGCTCCAGCATACTAATGCCCTTGCTTGTTTTGTACTGCTAATTCAGTGGATAGAGTAAATTTCAAGAGATGGTTCCCTAAAATTAAAAGATGTAGGTATGACCAACACCTGGATTATATGATTTGTGGGAGTTTAACAGTTGAGACAAATAACAGTTACGAAAAGCAGGACCTAGTTTTCATTGAGATAATTCAGATCTTATGTTAAGGTAGGTGAGATCAGATGATGGAATTATTTTGCACAAAAAATCCCCACCCTAGAAGTTATGGGAAAAGTCTCCATGGATTTCCCTGATGTACATAATTTTTTCCAGTGAGAAGTGAAATATTAGATAGTATTCCTGAGGCTCTTTGTGTTGTGCATTGCAGCTTGGTCATCCCAACTTTCTTCAGGTAAATTAGTTTGAGTTTGTGGAGTTTTTTTTCAACCTAGCTAATATAACAGGGAAACATAGTATGACAGCCCTTCTGCCTCAATAACATTGTTTTGTGAAAATAAACATGGGTAATTTGAAGAAACAGCATAGCCAATTGCATTGCGCTGGTTGCCTCAGTTAAGAGATAAATTAATGCTGAGCTGAGGAGAATCAAGAAGGTATTTACTTTTCCTTTAATTATAGTTCTCATTTCTTAATAGAATTTAGTCTCCAGAGGCTAATAAAGAATATAGGGATTTAATAAAGGGCAGAAAACTTGGTGAACCCTGACATTTAACAGTAATTCCAAAGGTTTTAAGAAGAGCAGAGGGAAATGATAGAAATGTTGACAGGTACTGATAAAATCCCAAAGTCAACATATGAATGACTTTAACAAATGCTCTGTTCTGTGTCAAAAATAATAGAATTTACCAGGCACAATTTTGGATATTTAAAACAAGTGTCATGATAGATATATTTCTCATATTCACTGTTACTTTTCAAATGCCATATGACTTTAAAATCATTTATATATTTATATCCACATATAAAACATCTATAAATATGTTCATATACAGCTGCACCATTATATACACCCACCCTTCAGTGAGATAGCTGTGCACCTGGCAAACCATGCATCAGAGTTATTATCACCTGTTTAGATTTTGTGGAAAACCCCTGCCCCCTTACTTTGATAGACTTTAACCAAGCAACCTTACTTGAAGCTACTAAGAATAATTTTTTCTTTTCTTCTCTTTTTCAGTCTACCTCTGCGTTTTTGGGTTAATGTCATTAAGAACCCGCAATTTGTGTTTGACATTCATAAGAACAGTATTACTGATGCCTGCCTATCAGTGGTGGCTCAGACATTCATGGACTCCTGCTCAACTTCTGAGCACAAGCTAGGGAAAGACTCTCCCTCCAATAAACTACTGTATGCCAAGGACATCCCTAACTATAAGAGCTGGGTAGAAAGGTGAGTAACTGCAGCTGTAGACAAAGTAGGTTTGCAAAAGGAACAAAGGTGTGGCAGTTCTAGAAAGTTTGGGATGGTTCCATGCTGTAAAAGAGCCACCCTTGATTAGAGGAGAGAAATTGATTCTTAGAAACAATTGCAAGTAATTGTCTTTCTAAGAATTGCCAATTCCTTTCAGACCTTTCTAATGAATAAGTAATAGAGCATATAGATTTCATGAAGGCAGCTATTTGTATTAGGCTGGATCCAGCATAAGCATCTAATTTTTGTGTGTGGGGGGAGAAGAACCTCAGTGAAGTGTTTCTTCTATCAGCTGAGCTTTTCAGTGGTTGAACAAGACAGGGAATGATGTTTCGGTTGCAGCCATTATCAGATCCAAGTGTCCTAAAAATTGCATTTAAGGATTGGTGGAGGTGGGTTGGGGAATTTGGGAGGCACTCCAGGAAAGTAAAAATAACTTCCTCCCCTTTCTCTTTCCACCTTCGCTGTGTTTGGGGATATTTCTACTGGTAAAGCAATCCATTTGCAGGAGAATTAGCAAAGCAAAAGCTCTTGCCAATGGAATTGAAAGCCTGGATTAGATCCAGCCTGAAAATAATACAATCACATTGTGTTGAGTAATACAGATAAGAGTTTTTAGTTTTCAGGGGTTTTACCGGGGAGATTCTGATCAACTTCAAGTATGTTTGGTTTGTTAATTATTGTGTACTATTGGGGTAGAGACTTGCACATTGAAAAGACTCAGTGTAGCTGGTGCTGTTTTGTGAAAATTGTATTTGCTAGTGACATCATTACTCTGCTGATGTCTTAAGTAAAACCAGAAGTTTTTTTTACTGCTGCTAATAAAGATGAAAAAATAGATAATGAAACACAGGATGAATAAGACTCTCTATTTATAAGTAGAGCTATTTTATTAAACAAATTGATTGTGTCTATTTGTGTACACACACACACACACACACATTCACACAGAGAGAGGGATTAGTTAGCATTGGTACATTGTACAAAACATACTTCCAAATATTTAGACTTGGAGATTACATTTGTGCCTGAGCTTTAATTCAAACTGTTTTAACAATTTATTATTCTGATGGTTAGAGAACGACATTGCATTAGTTTTATGAGTATTATTTTTATGAGATACATGGACTACACAAGCCCAGTGCCAGCCTTACAAGATGGACAGATCAGAAAACTGACTCATGGATGGCTAGAATTATATTTTGTTGTGATAAGCTTTAGTAACAGAATCTTAACTAAGTTTTCCGTTCCTTCCTTCCTTCCTTCCTTCCTTCCTTCCTTCCTTCCTTCCTTCCTTCCTTCCTTCCTTCCTTCCTTCCTTCCTTCCTTCCTTCCTTCCTAGACCCTAGGGAACCAGAGATGGGATAGTCTGAGTCTCTTGTAATATCCATCCATTCTCTCTGAATTTAACACATGTTTATTATGTACTGTACCTGATGTTTTCTTAATGGCCTATAGATTTGTTCTTTAAAGTCATCTCCCTGATCCTCCTATACTCAGAAACTTAACTAATATTGTGAGAGGGAGGGGGGCATCTTCCTTTTTCATGCCAGCATCCCAAGGTAAGGACATCTGGGACAAAACCTGCACTTGTGTCCTTTTCATTATCTTTTAAACTGCTAGCCTTAATGCAAACAATATTTTATGATGCGGGTTTTTTTACATACAGCAAGTTACAACATCTTAAGATTTTTTTTAAAAAAAATTATTTAATGAGATTCTGCACACTTTGAAAATGAGGAAGAAAACTTCAAATCTTGTGCAAGCACTTTTGTACTAGTTATTAAACAGTAGCTCTCTTCTTTGAGAGCTTGAAAAAAGTGCAACTGCTTTAAAGAATTAATCCTTTAAAGTTAATACAACTTTAATGGATTAACTTCTTAAAACAGCAACATTGCTTTTTTTTTTGGCTTGTGCAAAAAAAGTGGGCTGCTTTAATGATTAGCAGAGATGGATCTGAAGCACGCTCATAGCCTTGATATTCAATACTATTTGCTGCTTGCTTAGCTGGCTATTTTTAATATTAGCCAATATTATACATTATGGTGGTATTTTAGTGATAACATTGCCCTTAGGATGTTTCCCACATGGCTAGACTTTTAAAACATGAATCTTTTATGTTGCATATTTATATTCTGGGAGCTGTATATATAATTATAAATTATTCTATAAATAGAATAGATAGATGCTAGATAATGATTACTGACATTATGGAAGAAATGGGCTTCTATCTTGCTCTCCTAAGTGAAGCCAATTTCTTCCATAACAGCAGTCATTATTATAATTCAGTAACAAACTTTCTAATAAATACAGGATTATAAAACACTGTCTCCAAATATGTCACTTTCTGCTCTCTGCTGAGCTCCATTAAGTCTCCTCATAAGAGTGTCCAACTACTGATCTGTGATTCTGCTTGACCTGACTCACCATGATTTTGGAATAATTCAGGTCTCTCTCCAGCAAAGAATGTAGATAAGACATCTTACACCCCAGGTCCAAGCACTCCAAATCCCTATTTAAGGTGACCCTAGCATTTCTGTTTCTGCAGAAAGATTGGATCTTTCACCCAATCTCTTATACTCAAGCTTCTTTTGTTTGGGGAGAGGAGAGGGGGAAGAATATCTCAATAAAATGTTTACCTCCAATGATCACTCCTTTAAAGCTGTTTCTCAAGTCCTATTATTTCAACTCACACAAGGAGCTTGGACCAGGCACATTTGCCTTGTCCCCTCAGTCTTAAAATGTAAAGGGAGACCCTGTGTACTCTGCCTGTGAGGGCTTACTGTAAGAGGGCTAGTCTGGTTACTTGAACACAAAATGAAGAGTCATTTGGCAGGCAGAACACTATGAAATGGCTAAATGTGCTATGTACATTACAATTGCTTCATTGTAATGAATAGATTTATTACATTTAATCGGGAGGCTTGTTAATTAAGTTTATGGTATTTTCCAGATTTATCCTCAGTTTGTCTCCTACCTGCTATTGAACATCTTTATTTTCAACAGAGTGATTTATTTTTCCTCCTTCTCACTTATAGATATTATGCAGATATAGCTAAAATGCCAGCAATCAGCGATCAGGACATGAGTGCCTATTTGGCAGAGCAGTCACGGCTACACTTGAGCCAATTCAACAGCATGAGTGCCCTGCATGAGATCTACTCATACATTACTAAGTACAAGGATGAGGTAAGGTATATCAGAACTCTTAGACATATCCTAATATAACTATTTATCTCTGTTTTTTTCCTCTTTCTTTTGACCCACGAAAAGAAATCCAGAGTGGAGCTGCTTTTATTCCTCTGTAAACTCATCATATCATGTCTTAATAGTTGCATAGCCAGCTAATGAGCACCTGCTATGCAGTAAGTACACTTACTGCAGCATTTCCATACAATATAAAAGTAGCTCCATTTTTAAATATATTTTTAAAATGATCTGTAATGCATAAAAGCAATAAACAAAAGAACCCAAATATGTGCATTATAATTATGTTCCAAAATCAGTTTTTAAAGATTGATCTAGGCAGTTACTTACAAAATATCACGGTTGTACATATCATTTCTATTATGTGGGACAAACCTATCTAGGCTTTGTTCCATTTTAAACTAAAAAGGGTGTTTGTCTTCCTGAACAGCTAGTCATCATTAAAAAGATGTGGTTCAATTATCCATTTGTTGAGATACTAGAATGGTAGAGGAACCAGTTGCAGCAAATTATTGAAACGTGGTACTAAGCTCTCCCAAAGATACCAATTCTTCTCAATCTCCCTCTTTCCCCTTATCCTAACTATCAACTCTGACACAGATGGATGAGATAAGAACATTTGTCAAGTAGTAGTTCCTCTAATTTCTCTCCATCAGTATTGATGATGATTATGACGACAATGATGATGAAATTACCCTCCTGAATCCTAGTGACTTATGCTCCGTTCTTTTTATTTCACATAACCAACAATCCTGGGATTCTGTGAATATCTCTGTCTAAGAACTAAGCAGGCTCTACAAGCCTAAGCCAGCCAAATGTTGCCATCTACAAAGACCTTCTACTGAAGCTCTTTTTTAAAGTTCTGCATTTGCTTTACAAAGAGAGGGCACCTGTTTCTTTTCTAAAGTTTAGAAAAGAAATACCTTGAGGTATTTTTATCTGTCTATTTTCATTCATCCTTTCTTTTCTTGTTTTGATACGAAGTATCGAAGTATCAAAGTAACAAACAAAGACCACTCCCTTTTATAACAAAACAACAGTTTTCCAAAATAGGGGGGAAAATCACAACAGTGCCTCAGCAGATAAGTAATGGGCCAATAAGAATGGAAGAATTAAATCAGCGAATGGAACACATCTCATGAAGTAATCAAATAAGAGACAAAAGAAAAATATCAACCTAATCCTGAAGCACTTAACTCTCTAAATGAATGTGTTCTGGGTCAGCTGTTCAGGTGAGCCCATGTACAAATGACCTTATTTATAATTTTGAGGTGGGGGTGGCATTTACTATCACAAGAGAGTCACTTCATAAGCCTATAAAGTTTTAAGAGTGGTTAAAAACCCATCTACTGTAATTGGTATGAACAGCAGAAAGTAGTTTTGAACACATTCTCTACAATCCTTTATTAAAGCAATAAAATATATGATGCTAATAAAAATATATATATAAAATGGAGTTATATGGATTTTATTGCCCAACAAAAAGATGTTGAGAGGTGGGGGAAGGGAATTGGTTGCTTATATAAGATAATGAAAGCATTTGTACAAGACCTTGTCAAACATCTTTGCATTGTTATCTGGGCAAGGCTCCAAAATTGGTTCCTTCAACAGTTAGTAAAGAAAGTGGCCTATTCACATAAGTGTGAATAGAGATCAAGGCTTCTTAGAGGTTTCTGCACTCCAGTAAGCTCTGTAGCCAGCAGAGATCTCCTGCCCCATAGCAAATTGCCACATGCCAATGGAACGGCTTGCCTTCAGAAGTTGTTGGTGCCCCATCACTGGAGGCTTTTAAAAAGAGACTGGACAGCCATTTGTCTGAAATGATATAGGGACTCCTCCTTGAGCAGGGGGTTAGACTACAAGACCTCCTTCCAACTCTGTTATTCTGTTCTGTTTTTCTGGTGACCTTGGGCTAGTCTTTTTCTCAGCCCTAGGAAGAAGGCAGTAGCCAACCACTTCCAAAAAAGTTGACAAGAAAATTTCAGGAATTAGTCCAGGCAGCTCCAGGAGTCACAACCGACTTGAAAGCAACAACAACAACCACAACAACAACAACAACAAATAGCTTAGGTTTACATTTTTAGGATCCTTGGTTGATCTTTAGTCATTGATTCGATAAGTTACTTCAAACTAGATGTATATTTGTTTATTTTTATTTTTATTTTTATTTGATTTATATGCCGCCCTTCTCCGGAGACTCAGGGCGGCTTACAATGTGTTAAGCAATAGCCCTCATACTTTTGTATATTTATACAAAGTCAGCTTATTGCCCCCACAAACTGGGTCCTCATTTAACCTACCTTAGAAAGGATGGAAGGCGGAGTCAACCTTGAGCCTGGTAAGATTCGAACCTGCAGAAATTGCAGGCAGCTGTGTTAATTACAGGGTGCATTAAACCACTATACTACCAAGGCTCCTATATATATATATATAGGATATATATATATCTACCTCCCTTTGTACTCGCAGATATTTTGTTTTTACTAGAGAGCTAACACGCCCCCAAATTCTGTCTCATTTTTATTTCCAAAAATCTATTAAGTTTCACTAAAGTTTAGGACTATTAAACAAAAAATGGTGGGTGGTCGCAGTCTGTGCTGGAACTGTGGCCACCTGCCAGAAACGAAAAGGAAGGGAAGGAAAACTGGGGTAATAGGGAGCACCCCGGGGGATTAGACGGGTTGGCAGGGAGCAATCTCACCTATTCACAGTCTGGAGAATGGTTATTATGTGATTGATGTGCCCATTATTTGTGAATAGGAAAGCACATTTGTACATCCATTTTGTAAGAGTGCCTGTGACATGCTTGTTAATATTCCAAGTAAGACCACTATAAAATACATTGCCTACCTATGTTTTGAATAATGTTATCCTGTGTTTAATATTCTATTCATGTATAAAGTGTTTCGTATATTGGAAATTCTGAAAGTATTTTTTCTGAATGACACCAGATTCGGATGGATGGTGAAGAGTAACATTAATGCCGCATGTCAGCAAAACTGAATATTATTGTTTCTTTGTAGATGTGCTCTTCAGATGGATTCTTGTATCTCTCAGTGGCAACTTGCATTTTGAAGAACAGTTTCTTAGAATATGCAGTTCAGAGTTCTATTTCAAGTCAGCAGAGTTCCCTCTGTGGTATAATATAATGCTGCTGGGAACATTCCAATTTTCTATTGTTTTTATCCCATAAAAATAAATTCACATGCCAGTCTTTTGTTGGCATTGCATATTAATGATTAATAGTCACTACCTAACTAGACTAGATTCAGTTACTAGAGTCTTTTAGATTCGCTATGAACAAGATCTTAGAGATAAAAGATGTAGAATTATTTTTAGAGTGATAAAGACAGGATTGTTTGAAATTCCAAATTAATGAGACTTTTTTTTATCCAGATCTACAGCTTTTCTTCCTGAGCTGAAAGTAGAAGGATAATAGAATAATAATAATACAGAATTTTTAATATTTAAATCAATTTAATAATAACCCATTCCAATGTGCCGGTTGCAATGCATAAAAGAGAAAAGCATCTCTCACATAGATACAAAACTCCATTTATCACAACTCCTATTAATAACAAGGAATGTTAACGAGAGATTCCTTGAATTAAGACTCGCTCTCAAATGATACTTTCATTCCTCAAGAGCCTACCCAAAAGATAGTGTGATCCTGAAGATCCCCTATGAGTTGGCCAATTTTTTTTTATTCTTGAAGGCCCTTGTAGGAGTTAGATATTAACCAAGTAGTAGATTAATCAAAAACTCTTAGTAGGGGCAACTCTGGGGTTTCATTCAACAGTAAAGAAGCCACAAAGATTTTAGAACTCTGTCACCCAGTTGTGATGGGATGAGCTGCTTCCTGAAGGATCCCCCCTGCTTTTTTTTAACTTGCTTTCTTGAAAGGAATTTATTTATTTAGCTCTTGTAATTTAATAGGCTTTTATTGTATTGTAAACTGCTCCTAGTGCAGTGGTGAAATCCAATTTTTTTTACTATCGGTTCTGTGGGCGTGGCTTGGTGGGTGTGGTGTACCTTGGTGGGTGTGGCAAGGGAAGGATACTGCAAAATCCCCATTCCCTCCCCACTCTGTGGCCAGCCAGAGGTGGTATTTGCCAGTTCTCCAAACTACTCAAAATTTCCACTACCGGTTCTCTAGAACCTGTCAGAACCTGCTGGATTTCACCCCTGCCCTAGTGGCTTTGGATAGTGAGACGGATGGCATATACATTTAATAAATAAATAAAAGGAAGAATGCAGTATCATTCTTCTGAATAGAATCCAGAGAGATAAGTATAACTCCCTTTTGCAAATAAAACTCCATGTAACCTTTCCTTTTAATTGTATCTTGATTAAGTTGGGCAAGGTTTAGTGGGTTCCAGCCAGGTCTGAGAAACATAAGTGTGCACCAGCAGTGCCAAAGAAAGCCCCTTGTATGAATAGACCCAAGTGTAAACCCAACCTGTCTTTAAGGGTGAAGCACTATATACAAAAGGTCACGGAGGTCATCAACAGGAATCTTAACAGCTAGCGCCATCACAGCTTTTCAGCACCCGGCCTGCCATCTGGATGAGACCAACAGCAATCACAAAAACTGGAGCTAGAGGAGGCGGCGGCACCCCCAAAGAGCGGTTCCTCCAGCCCTTTTGCAGCAGCAGCTGCTGCCCTGGGGCTAGTCTCCTAGCTTCCAACATTCCCTTTCATTAGTCTTACAAATCAGCGAGGCCTTAAGAGCAGAAATCAATAGGAAGCAGGGCAAGTGCTACGTGGTTAGAAAGTGCAGCCTTAATGAGCTGCAGGCAAAAGAAGTTGCCAATCCTTGTCTTTTTGGTTAACCACTGTCTGGCATTTGTTGAATGTGCCTCTATAGTCTGCTCTAAAAGTGCACTGCCTGTGTGTTTGCAGCTCTCAGGAGCTTCTTTTATGATTTGTAATGGGATTAATAAATAGCAGCTGTTCCCTTTGTTTGTTTTCATTCATTAAACACAATTACATGCAGCCCGATTGCACCCTCTTTGATGCAAAATGGGAGGGAATAATTTTTCCTGTTGCTCAGTACTATAATGTGCTGTCATTGGCACTGAATGAAAATCATAATTAATTTTCATTTGGGGTTTTTGCATCTTCCTAATCATGGCGGTCTTTAGAGCAGGTGACAGACAAGTATCTCTCTTTTTTCTCCCTGTCCCCCCTGCTGTTTCCTGTTTTACCCTGTTGTGCCCAGAAGTGCCACAGAAGAACAACCAGGCACAAAGCTGGTTACAAAATCTTTCCAAACTCACAAACTTTAGTGATTGTCTCCAGTTGAATCAGGAGCAAAGGAGATTTGGAGGACTATCTCATTCTATTCAGGCCTCCAACACCTTTAAGATCCTAAGATTTGACATAGGCAACCTAATTGGTTGCTTTGGTTGACATTCAGTATTTTAGCACCACCTAGAGGTGCTTGGAAGAACAATGCTTTAGGTGAAGGATGAGGTATTGGGGGAGTCAAACTCTGGCCTGGATTGTTAACTATATGGATTTGCAGCCGGACCATTTTTGTGCCAGGAAGCATTTTGTGCCTTTCATATTTAGAAAACTTTTGCAACTAGACACAAATCTTTTCCCATAGGATAACAGCCTTAGAATATCTTCCCACAGGCATGACGTTGGAGTGGCTAATGCCTTTCTTGATTTGAGGACTCCACCAGAATGTACCAGCTCTGTGGCACATTACCTTTGTGCAGTGGTGGGATTCAGCCAGTTCGCACCACTTTGGGAGAACCGGTTGTTAACTTTGTGAGCAGTTTGGAAAACTGGTTGTTGGAAGAAATCATTAGGGCAGAGAACCGGTTGTTAAATTACTTGAATCCCACCACTGCCTTTGTGGGTTGCTTTATTTTGTGACATTGCAGCCTTCCCCAAAGCCCTGGGCAGTGGCGCTGTATGTGCTCCCCATCATTTCTGCATGTTCAATATGGGAAGCCTAAAGGTGTCACAGCTGCTTTTAATCACAGGGAGCTTATTTCCATATTACTTCTAGGGTTTGTGATGGGCCTTTCCTGCTTTCGAATAGTCAGCCTATTAATTATACAAGAGTTTGTTTCCAATTATGCAGCCAATGAAATGGTTAATTGAGTTCTTTTTGATGGATGCCTCGACATTTAATTGGAAAAAAAATACAGCTTGCACTCACAACAAATGTAACCACTATAATGGGATTTCTGATGAGATTGCATTTTAATCATCCTTTTCTTTAAAAAAAAAAAATCTGGCAGTGCAATTGAAAGGGAGGTGGGGTTTGGGGGCATTTCTTTTTTATTCCTCCACTTTCTCAATCCTTTCCTGCCAAATCTTCCCTTCTCACTCAACTGTCAAAAGGCCTACTCACAACATCCCACCCTTCAGTTCATTAATGTGGTTGATTAAAGAATGGCTTTCTAAGAATACGTACAAATGATGATCTAAAGGTTTTCATCTGATTCTGAGAACAGAACTAAAATGTAGGATTCATTTATAGCTCTTTCAGTAGGAAAGATGTTTATTATATGAATTCAACTGTATTCCATAATTATGTCCTTTTTTCTAGTGCCTTCAATAAAAGGCCTTAAGCATGCTAAATTCCATTACTTGACTTATTTTCTCAATGGCACTGAAGTATAAGCCTATTTAGTGGAATGAAATTTTGGTGGAAAAATTCCAGAATTGCCATTTTCTAGTATTTTAAAATATAGTGTGAATAGCAATAGGTTCTTTCATCAATTGAGGCAAATCTGACTGCAATTGAATATGAAATCTACATTGGGCCAATAAATTTAGATTCTTCAGCAATTTTTCTTGCCTTTCCCAGCAACCAAAGGTAGGCACTCACTGCTTATATATAGTTTCACTCCTTAAAAAGGAGACTCAGGCTCAAAATCTCCTTTGGATTGAATGAGCTCATGATGACCTAAACAGAACAATTTAAAAATATTGACTTCCTGAGAAATGTCTCATTGTGGATAGTAATGAATTTAAAAACAAAGTGGGTCTGTAAAAGATTGACTTAAAAGGATTCCATGATAGGCCTTTGAGTATTCTGTTCAAAATATATAACTGCTAAAGAAACTGTTTATCAGTTTCAGAGACCAAAATGAATTTTCCTGGAATTTATCCCATTGTTTGTTCTGTATAATTATGAGGCTTTATGTCCATGAAGAACCATTCTCTCATATATTTTCAACATCAGGACAAATTTAGACATTAAGAAAACATATTATATTTCTGGGCCTGTGTGGGTAAGTTACAATTCAGGTCAACGTAATGCTTGTCTATTCTACCTCAGTGTGGCAAAACATTCAGGTAGATTCAACCCATCCTGTTTGCTGCTTTGGTTTGATAACAATGGCTTCTGCAGGGTGCATGCTCAGAAACATTTTTTTTTTTAACTGATTGGGATGAAGAAGGATAGTCATTCCAATAAACAGAAAGAGAAGGCTTACACATTCCTGCCTCTCATAATAAATGGCTTACATTGTTTTTCACCTGTACATTTTGAAACCCAAATTGATGAGAGGAAATCTGCAAAGAGAAGATACTGACAGTTTTAGAGGACAGCTGACTACAAACCAAGTTAAGCATGTCTCCTACTCTTAGTTGTCATGTTTTCTACTGATCTGTCAACTAAACCCAAACCATTAATTTGAAGGCAAAAAAGACAATTGGGGGACTGGAGGCTAAAACATGAAGAACAGTTGCAGGAATTGGGCATTTCTAGTTTAATGAAAAGAAGGACTAAGGGTGACATGTTAGCAATGTTCCAATATCTCAGAGATTGCCATGAAGAAGAGGCACTGGAATGCAGGATAAGAATCAATGAATGGAAACTAATCTATGAGGGAAACAACCTAGAACTAAGGAAAAATTTCTTGACAGTTAGAACAATTAATCAATGGAATGACTTGCCTCCAGAAATTGTGGGTGCTCCAACACTGGAAGTTTTTAAGAAGAGATTGGGCAATCATTTGTTTGAAATGGTATAGGGTCTTCTGCTTGAGGAGGATTGGGTTAGAAGACATTTATGGTCCCTTCCAACTCAGTTATTGTTATTAACTTCAAATTCGAGCTTACAATCCAGTATTTTTCTCCAGTCTCTTTACTATCTTTGATGTTTGGGAAACAAGACCCTTCATATTTTTTCCACTGGTAACTGTGTTCCATTTTCTCCTTACTGTTGTCCTGTTTGGTCTTTTGATGGTTCAAGGAAGAGTCCTTCTGGCTTTCCTATTAGAGACCTCCTTGTGGAAATTATTTCAGATTGTAGAGGATTCTTTTTTTCTTAATAGTAGTAATCTTTTCCTTTCTGCTCTTTCCTTTATCAGATTTTAGCTGCTTTAGAGAAGGATGAACAGGCCCGAAGACAACGGCTGCGAAGTAAGTTGGAGCAGGCAATTGACACAATGGCTCTAAGTAGCTGAAAAGGCCGAGTTGTTGTTGCAGACTTCCTAGCAGCGGAGGCTAAAAGAGAAAGCGGCAAGCAAGTTGCAGCAACAAGAAAACACACAAGATATATTGGGGCTCAGCACGAAACAGTGCACAGAGTCTGCTGCGTCTTTGAACCTTTTGCACCGATTGAACAGAAGAAAATCAAACAATCCTTTAAATCATTATTATCAAAGCAAATTGAAACAATTTAAGGACCTTTTTGAAAGGAGCGACTGACGTGGCAAAGAACCTGAGAGACCCAAGATGTGTGAGAAGAGCCGGGGGGGAAGAAATTCCAGCTGAACTGCTACTGTCCCTTCCCCACCAAGGCTTGCCCCAAATCTGGCAAAGGAAGGTTGGGGCATGCACTAACTTCTAGGGCAATGTTTTTACATTATGTTTTTCTTATAGCAGGCGGGTGGGCAGTCTTATCATTTTTTTTCCGTTCTGTATTTGCTTCGACTCCCACCTTGACTGGACAACTCAACTCTTCAATCTACTCCTCCTTTCTTTCTCCCTGGCCTACTGCCTCTAGTGTTAACTGCTAAATTTGCACAATTTTCACAAGCTAATGCTGTCCTTTCAGGGACTGAAAGGATATGGAAGGAGGAGGGAAGTTGCAAATCTGCAAGAAATCTTCCCAAGATTTGTTTTTCCCCCAACAAATTATTGGTGTGGGAGAGAAACGAGGGTGAGTAGAACCTAGAGAAGCAGTCCCAGGCCTCCTTTATTCTTTCTACAGTTCGTCCTGTGCCATTTTAAAACGTTATTGAGCACAGGCCAAATAAATGCTCTCATTTTGAATGCTGCTTAAGAGTGTGCTGGAGACTTAGAAAGGCAAAACTAAAAATAAAAAAGAGGGATAGGCACATATAAAAACAATCTCACCTAAAGAAAGACTTTTCTCATCTATTAGAAGCAATGCAACTTCCCAATACACCTTGCATTGGAGGTTTATACAAGTCAGAATCAGCTTTTATAAGCAGAGTTTATAAAACTTTCTCAAAATTGCCCCTACTCAGTTTTCATTGTACACACAAATACACACACAAACTTCTCCATGTGTAAGCTTTCCATTTAGAGGTCAAAGATACTTTCAAAGAAGCTCTCCATATACAAGTGTCATATAGCCAGAGAGAAAGGAGCTATCTAGTCTAATAGCTCAGTATTGCAAAGGAGAATGTTCAGGTTAAGCAGGATCATGCAGGCAGTTTAGAGAAAAGCTTTTTTTTTTTTTTTTTTTTTTTAGCCTTTTGAAATTGCATTGCTCCACCTCATTCCACTGGCTCTCCCAATGGCAACATAAAGCCTGGTCAGATTATCAGAAGGGCAGTCTTTATTCCAAAAAGTAAAAAAAAAGCGTTCCTACATGCAGTTGCAGCTTAGCCCTGATAAATATGGCATGTCGGTTCCAGCGTTGTTTTATGTATGTATGTATGTGTGTGTGTGTGTGTATGAGTGAGGGGGAGGGGTTGCGCATGCTCATGGACATTCAACTCTTCCAAATACTGATTACAGCATCCGCCTATCTTCAGCAGGCTAATTCCAAAAACAAAACCAGGCTTAAAGTTTAAAACAGGCTTGTCCAACCTATAGCCCTTGGTCTGCATGCAGCCCTGGACAGCTACAGTAGTAATGTGGCCCCACAAGATGATAAACCTTTCACATTATTATGTGGCTTATATATGTTGTTGTCAGTGTGTGAAATTAGGCATTTTATAGAATGCCTAGGAAATCTATAGAAGGTCAAAAATCAAAGTATGAAACACTTAACATTTCACACATTTCCTGGGCATTCTATGCAATGCAAAAAGGCAAACCAGCAAAGTACAAAATACTCCTGCTAAAATCCCATTCTAGCCTTCCTTGTTGCAACATGTAGGTCAATATTGGTCTTTTTGCCTTGGGTTTTTTTTTTCCCCCAGTAAGAAAAAACTTTTATTTTGCATTTCTTCTTTTATTTTCATATATGTCTTTCCAATAAAGGGTTAGAGTTAGGGTTAGCCTGAACTTAATCCTAAACTAACCCTAATCCTTTTCATGTCTCTCTTTTCATGCTTTTCCTAAATAGTTCTTGTCATTGGGCATAATGCCTAGGTATTACATACAATGTCTAGAGAAAGGGTAGAGCGTATTAAAATAACACAGACATTTCATACTCTGCTTAGAAACGTCACCCATTCTTTTGCTCACGTTTTGTTTGTTTTCTTGTTTTGTATTTTACCTTTTATGATAAAACAAAATAAACGTACATAAAAGAGAGACGTCACACATTCTATACATCTTCTAGGCATTCCATATAATGCCAGCTTTTCACACATTGCCGGTAACATATACACTATTACATATTTAACATGCACCCCAAGACAATCCCACTTTACTCAGTGTGGGCCAGACAAGCCAAAAGGTTGGACAATCATGCTGTAAAGCAAGAAATTATGGCTAGGCCACCAAAGCTGAGCCTGCAACCAAGTGCTCTTTGTGCGCAACAAAATATTCTGTGAGAAACAGACATGACAGCAGCTGGATTGATAGGCCGACCCATGAGAAGGAAAGAGAAAACGAGGCTCTTTAATTGCATGGAAGCACAACCATTCGGGATCTTTTTTGTAGGCTGATATCAGCAACCAGTTATGATGAGGACCCAGATTGTTGTGGGCAATAGGCTGACTCTGTAAACCGCTTAGAGAGAGCTGTAAAAGCACTGTGAAGCGGTATATAAGTCTAAGTGCTATTGCTATCTCTCTGGAAAGTGTTTGGGTAGTTGCTTCCTTGTTAGAAACTTTAAATGATCTATGACCAACACAATATTCTCACTCCCCGTTTATTTATAACTTGCTTTGGTTATCTTGCCACCCTGTTTCTTTAAGTAGGGGATAAATAATAATCTCCATAGGAACAGCATAGGATTGTCTGCTCGCATTTAATGTTAGTGCCTAAGTTAGCAGAAAGGTCACTGCCCCTTCCACAGCTCTCCTAATTGGACACCTACTTTCTATTTTCTCCTATTTCTTCCAACCCCAAAAGTGTAATTTCTTTCTATCCTGATTCTGAGCATTACCTGATTCTGGGGTTGTTGGTTATCAAACAATCACCAGGGGAAACAGATGCTAACATTGGAAAACAATGGAAAGTCTGTTAAAAACTGAGCAAAGTCTTGGTTACTTGCTTGTTCTCTAGACTGAATCAGACATCTCCCATATGATTTAAAGGCAAGGCTTTCTTTATTGCTACCGTGGAGATTTCCAAGGTATCTTGTAATGTTTTAGAATGGAATGTGTGTTCCTTTGTCTTGTCTTTGCACAGTTCATTTAGAAGGTATCCTCAGTTAAAAGCAAAGCCTTTATACAGGTAGTCAAAATGATGTATGACCATTCGTTTAACAATCAAAGGGATGACGGTGCTTTCATTGGGATTCTTCCTGGATTCTGTTTCCTTTTTCCTTCCCTTCTGTCATTTATTTCTTCATCATTCCATCAAATATTCCACTCTTTGCATGAAGACATTCAGTTCCATTCTGTATGTAAAGCTTTTTACTATTATTTTAAATGTACCAATGTGTTGAAGTCACTGCCCTAATTTAACTCAGGTGACCAAATCCACCCAATTTTCAGTCTTCACCTATCTGCCTATCAAGTACCAATAAATTAAGGTGTTCGACCTAGTGTTGAAAGAGCCTGATCCTACCTAAATAAGTGGAAGAAAGAGATGTGATGTGGTGTGTGTGTGTGTGTGTGTGTGTGTGTGTGTGTACACAAAATGTTACAATCTAATTTTTTAAGCCTTGGTGGGGCAACTGTACAATTAATTGGAGGAGTTGAAACAATATCAAATGTGGCTTTTTACACTAAACAATGGAAAATACCAAATGGGGAAAAAACATATTAACATTCCTCACCAGTAGAACAATCCTTTGAATATACATCTCAAATTATTTTGTAATTTTTATTTTTAATTATTTCTTTAATTAAAGAGGAGGAGGAAGAGAAGACAATAAAATAAAACAAACTTTTAAAAAAATGTGGAGTCCTGAGATAATTCTGGATCCATAAGACCTGTGGGCTGTTGCATGACTGTGATAGAATTTAGTCTGAGTTAATCATTTTTGAAAAGAAAAAAAAATGCAAGTGTTGAATATTAGAGGTTTGGTTAGACTTTTATTTTTTTTTTTGAAATTTTGGACTTAATTTGTCACTTCTTGTACAAGAAACAAAAAAGAATTAATGTAAATCGTTTATTTCTGAAAAATGGTACTCAAATAAGTCTTAAAGGACAGCTAAATGTTGCTGCACAGGAAGGATACCATAATGGTTTAGAGGTTCACATCTCCAGACTTTGAAGTCTACTTGGGACTATAAACACTATATGATTTATGTTCCTCAACGTGGCTTATCTTTCCACTTTACAAATTGTATCATGGATCACAAAGAAGCAAATTCGGCTTTGTGGTTCCACGTGATCAGAATCTTCGTCTGTTTTGATTAATACAAAGAATTTCTTCTTTAAAAAGTTACATTTTTTTTCAGGAGCTGCTTAGAATCCTAGTGCTTAAGCTTGAAAAGGAACTTGGAGATCATTTCATCCAACTGCCCAGTCTGCAGTCTGCTACTTTATGGCCACCCAACTTCTGTTTTAACACTAGGAAAAAGAGGCAGTCTGTTCTGTTATTGAACAGCTTTTAAGATTAGGATATTTATTCAATTTAAATCTACCTATCATATAAACCCCTCATTTTTCATTTTGCATCCTGGAACAACAATTCTGCCCTGTCTTCTGTGCGACAGCTGTTCAGTATGGCAGTCATCTGTCTCTCCTCTTCTCCAGGCTAAACATGTCCAGCACTTTCAACTGTTCCTTGTATGTCTTTCCTTCCAGACCTTAGTTTCTCTTCTCTGGATGTGCTTTAGATTGTCAATATCCTCCTTAATATGGAGTGCTCAGAACGGGACACAATATTATAAATGCAGTGTGACCAATACTGAATATATGGGAGCAATTCTATTGATGTTGTCATGTTACTTTTGATACTACAATCATAAGATTGCATTTGCTTTTTTTTTTTTTTTTTTTGCAGCTGTATCACATTGTTGGCCATGTTAGCAAGATCCCTCCAGATCCATTTTGCACATATTGTGGCCCAGTATGGTCTGCTCCCCAGTTCTTATATTCATATCTTTGATTTGTCCTACCCAAACACTGCATTTGTCCATATTGACATTCACAGTCCTAGTTTCTACTTATTTCAGTTTGTGAAAATCCTCCTGAAGGTGAAGTATTTGTTACCTTTCATCTTTATGTCATCTGAAACTTGATAAAATTTTTCTACCCTTCGTCCAAGTCATGTACAAATAGGTTGAATAGCACAGATTCTGAAATGCAGCATTTGTTACACCACTCAATACTTATTTCCATCTAAACAATTAGCTAATTAAATTTGTTGGGTACAGTCATTCAGTTAAGGTCCTCTCCAGCTGATAGAATAGCCTAATCCACTAAAATCTCATGATTCCTGAAGTCAAGGGAGACCATGTACACACCATCTCCATTATGACTAAACTGATCACCAAGATCAGTTTGGTGTCATTTATTTTTGATAAAGCCATGCTGGAGTTTCGTTATTCATATTAGGTTGATCGTGAAGTAAATCAATATTGGGAATTACATGAAGGTCCTGCAGAATGCAAAATTAAGTATAGAGATTTGGGATTTATTCTTTTTGAAAAGTTTTGCTTATGAAACAGCTTGTTTTCCCCATTATTGGCCTTGATTCAACTAAACCATTATCATTGTTCTGTGGCAATGATTTGATCCCTGGGGAAAAGAGTCCTGCCAAATATAAACAAATAGAATAAAATAAAAAAAGTAATGATGATGAAGTGTGTGGAAAAGTCGACATTTTTCTGTATCTTCTAGGTTCTTTGCCAGGTGGACAAACAACTTCAGTTAAAATAGCTGAAAAGCAATAAATTAATCAGTGTATGGCCAAGTGTGGTAGACTAATCTTATTGGTGGAACAAACAGATCCTGAATGTACTGCATATTTGCAGGCACAATGAAAGCCTGGCGAATGCTTTTTCACATGCAAAGGCTTCACTCAAGAGATAGAAAGTGAGATCGATCCATTATAGCAATATTCAGATGGGGCATGAAAAAAGTTGTTCGTCCCCATGACTGCTTTGTATTGAGGGATGCATCTCTGTATTTTGAAGGGTGGATGGAAGAGGTATAATTATCTGGCTCTGTCTATCAGTTTGTCTGCTATTTAAAAAGAGCCAGCCACTTTCCAGACGGTGCCTGAGGCAAAAGAGAAGCTCAGTGGCTGTCCCATATAACAGGAGAAAAATATATGACAAGTAGGCAACTGAACCCAGATGCTCATCTTTCTCACCATGGTGCTTGTGGTTTCACAGAAAATAAACAATTATTTGTGTGACCACACATTCCTCCTGTATTTCCAAAGGGCTTACAGTCAGATTCATAAGGGATCGCTCGAATGAATAAATGGGGCATCCCTTTAATCCTATTTGATTGTAGTTTCAAACCCTGCACTATTGCACTTGTATAAAGCCCTACATATGAACAGTTCCACACTGCAAACAGTTACGCTACACTTCTGGGGACTGGCTGTTCACTTGATGTCACCATGCAACTTACAGAGTTGATCATCCTTGCCTGCCAATGGAGTTGTTCACTTCTTTGTACTACACCAATGGGGGGGGGGTCTTGGAGATGTAATTTGGGCTTATTTGGTTGCCCTTTTTAATTCAGTGCCTCAACTCCGTTAAAATTCTTCAATATGAGAGCAAACCTGCATGCATCTTATGTTCAATTTCTCTCCCAGTCTCTCCATAGTAGCAATTGGCATTTTTGCATGCAAAATTATTTAAATAATTATCTCATCTGACAATGGTTCAGTATTACTCCTAAGAGTTCACTGAATACATGGGGAAGGTTGATATTACTATATTGCTGGAAGTTTTTAAACTGTGGAGTCATAACGCCCACTTCAGCAGAACTTACTAGTAGGCCAACATACTTTTGTCCCTTTTTAGTGTCCATGGAAAATAAATACTTTGAAACATGAGACCAATTTTCTTTTTCTTGGTATAGCCTTTTGATAGCATCACTCATTATTTTTCCTGGTGGGTAAATGAGTCCCATTGTTGGCCATACCCTCCAAAGTTAGCCTATGTAGCAAATTCATACTTTATGAAGTTATCTTACGAAGTGGTTTTCCTAGTGAAAGAGTCATTTAAAAAGCTAGGCATCTTTGTGGGCATTTGATCATTTTTTCTTTGTTGTTCATCTACCCTGTTTTATTTAACTACTGTATATTGAAAGTCGGCATACTTCAGATACCAAAATCCCTAAATGGATTGAGGATCCGTAGCCTACTTCTCTAGTTCTTAGAAATGTCTGGCTAGCTCCTCATGGATTACATGGACTTTTCATTTTACTCTGTAAAATCATTCTTGTATTCCTTAGCAATGATTCTCTTAGCTTTTCACTTCTGTTGATGTTGTCTAAGCTGTCCTTTCTTATTTCCACTTATTTCTCTTGAGGGTCTGCTCTTCTCATATAACTGTTTGTAGTTTTTTTCCTATTAAGAGCAGGGATTAACAGTGAGGAGCGGCAGAATGAATTTACTTTCCACAAGTATAAATATTTTATTAGATTTTTCATCAGATTATGTTGACCCTTGATGCACCCAGTTATACAAATACTCTGCCAAGATAATGTCAGGCGCTTTGACTGCAATATTGAATCCCCAGAAGTTTCTGTAGTTAAGCAGTTATTTTAACTGTAGTTATTCATGTCATTACAATAGGCAAGATATTTTGATATGCCTTTTGATTGATGCTCAAATGAGCACATAAGAAAGTTGTATACATAAGCAGGAAAATCTTGGATTAACACGTCTTTACAAAAATCCTTCAAAAGCAAAACAGTGGAATGTTAAAATGGCAACCCTGATACTGAATAAATAGAGATTATCCAACACATTTTTCTTAGTAAAGTTAACTCAAGGATTTCTAAAAGTATCAAATATCAGAAACAAAAAAGAGCATTTATCATGTCACTACTTAAAATTGCACATAAGCATTATGCCAATTGATTCCCACCAACATTATTTGCGATTCCCTACCAATAAATCTAGTGTCTACTCCAGCATCCATGACTTGATAAATTTTCCATTATTTGAATACCCTTGTAAGGAAAAGATGCATTTGAAATACTTTTGGTTCTTCAGGGACTAGTTCAGGTTTTACATTCATTGTTCATAAGCGTACACATATTTCATTTCCTCCCTTTAGTCTCCCATCCCTTGCATTCTTAAATATAAATGCAGTTTTAGGACACAATGGGAATGTGTTGAAGGAGCAACTCGGTAGAAAAATGATGAAGGCATTGTGATTAATAAATGATCTGATCTCAAACTGCACAGTTCTGAGAGTTGAGTTCTGAGACTTGAGAGCAAATTTGAGACAGCTTTTTGTTCCCTTAAAATCATTGGCTTTTCTTCAAAGTTCATAGTGTTCTAATATAAGAAATCCCTCATCAAGTGAGAATGACAAATCAGTTGTCTTCAATTACCCCCCCCCCCAAATGTGCAAAATTACAGAAGTCTAATAACATGCACAAAATCCCATCCATGTGAGCTACACACTCTGGACCCATTTACCTAGAGTAGAAGGCATAGTTCTACTTTCATCTTCCAGACAGCTGGCCTGAAGGACAAACACTAGCTCTGTGCAGCAAGGTTTACAATTTATCCCAGGTTCTTTTTGCACATGTGCTCCAAGAAAAATTATACAGGGAGTAAGTACTTCCAGCTCTTTGGAACTGGAAGGTTTAGGGATAGTTCCCAAATGTGGAATAGGGGAGTGGGTACACTGGACAAAGAGAGTGAGCTAATCCCTTTTTCCCTTGAAATGTTCCTCTTTTCAGCACTTTTGGTACTTCTTTGGGCTGAATATATATTCCAGCACTGTAGGGCGCTGCCACTCACACTTATTTCTAAGGAATGTCAAGGCTGCAGTTAACTGTCCTTTAAGAAACAGGGAAGGGGGTGGTATGGGAGGGGAGGCAGAGAGGAAACCATAAAAAAAAATACACAGAATTTTAATAGTAAATTTAAAAAAAAATCATAACTTTATGTGATTGTTTCAGACTTGAAGCAACTGTGCCAGTATGGCAGGTCGGCACCCTTTGGTTGTGTAAATATCCTGCTATTTCCTATTTTAATGTTCTTCAGATTTAGTACTTGTAAATAAACACGCACATTAAGAAGAGATTAAACATTTTTGCTATAGAACGTGTCTTGTCTGGCTTTGTGAGTGTTGGGGTTTTGGTTTGGGAGAAACTCGGAAATATAGAAAGTGACGCGAAGCAAGGGACGGCCGTGTGTGTGCTAATTTGCAGGTTCCTGCATCCTGATCAGTCTTGGCTGCAACGTTTCGTGCTGGCCAACCATTCCTTTATTTGAGCCTCAATGTGATCTTTTCTACTTGTTCCAGTATTTTCAGTCACTCTGAAGCAAGCAAATTGTGTATCATTTGAGGAAAAACTGATCATCCATGCTGGACCTGGGACCCCCTGTTTTGCTTCCTTTCCTAGAAGAGTTGATAATCATATATGAGTCTGTGGGTTCCACTGGTCTGAATTAGAAGGAATAAGCTGCTTGCTCTGTGGAATATGTACTTTACCATTTCCCCCAATTGGTTTTTTTTTTTTTTTTTTTGCAATGGCACAATGCAGTGTAGCCCACTGGGTGCCACTAATGCTCATGATAATATCCAGTGGTGGAATTCAGCCAGTTTGCACCACTTCGGGAGAACCAGTTGTTAACTTTCTGAGCAGTTTGACAAACTGGTTGTTGAAAGAAATCATTAGGGAAGAGAACCGGTTGTTAAATTATTTGAATCCCACCACTGATGATATCCCAATTGGGATAACCCACCAGCATCCTACTCTTGATCTTATCTGAGTCCCCTTCCTGCCAACAGCTACTTCTGCCGATGCCCCCCAGGTTTTTCATGCCCTTCCACTATTTCTGTCCATGAAACACTCATCAAAGATGCATGTTTCACTTTAGGCACCATAGTTTCTTGCACGGATTATGGGAATATTGCATGGGAGTGACAAACTGATCCCGATGATCAGCAGTGGGATTTTCAAAAACTCATTTTAATCCTGGTTTAATCTATAAGAATCTAAGTGTATAGCAGTCTTCCAATATCTAAGAAGAGGGAGCAACCTATTCTCCAAAGCATCTGAAGGCAGGACAAGAAGCAATGGATGTAAACTAATTACGAAGAGATCTAACCTAGAAATAAGGAGAAATTTCCTGATAGTTAGAACAATAAGTGGAACAGTTTGCCTTCAGAAGTTGTTGATGCTCCATTACTGGAGGCTTCTCAAGAAGAGATTGGACAACCATTTGCCTTGAAATGTTATAGGATCTCCTGCTTGAGCAGAGGGTTGGAGTAGAAGACTTCCAAGGTCCCTTTCAACTGTTATTTTTTTATTTTACATTTTCTAATGAGTTCAGACATGACATGAATGGTGCTAGGGAACTGCAGCCCTGAGGTTATACAGGGGTTTCTCTGCTGGTAAAATAAAACTGTACAACAAGTTCCTGTAAAAATTTAAATGGCCACTTAATTGGGAATGTTATGAGTAACACAACAATTTGCTGAAAGCAAGCTGATTCACCTAATCCTAGGAGAAGGTTTCTGCAGAAAGAGAAAACCTTCCTCCCTTAGAAGCAGAATAACAGGACATAACATGCAGGAAACAAGGGGCTAGTTTGTCTGCAAGTCTCTTGCAAAAGCAGGCTGTCAAATGGCCATCCATTTGCAACATGTTGCAGAACAGATCTCAAATCTGATGCTAAATGTGCATCAATCTAAATAATTCAGATCTGTCTAGACAAATCAGGCAATAAATGTATCTTTGGCCTAAGCTGTTACTTATTATAGGAGGATGAGCCACAGTAGAAGTCACCATTATATCTCTCTATTCGTATTTCAAGGGACACAGTGGCTCAGTAGCTAAGATGCTGAGCTTGTCGATCAGAAGGTCCGCAGTTCAGCGGTTCAAATCCCTAGTGCTGCATAATGGAGTGAGCTCCCATTACTTGTTCCAGTTTCTGCCAACCTAGCAGTTCAAAAGCACGTAAAAAATGCAAGTAGAAAAATAGGGACTACTTTGGTGGGAAGGTAACAGTGCTTTGTGCGCCTTTGGCATTTAGTCATGCTGGCCATTTTCGGACAATGCTGGTGCTTCAGCTTGGAAATGGAGATGAGCACCGCCCCTAGAGCTGAAAATGACTAGCACGCATGTGTGGGAGAACCTTTGTCTTTATGCATATTTCTAGCTCTAGGCTAAACATCATATCATTGCACCATAAAAAGATTCTTGACCTTCTTACTGACCCCTCTCCCAGCAAGTGTTACAGAGACTTCCTTGTTTGGAATCACATACCATATTAAACAAGGAAGTTGCAAGCTGCATTATGGTCGAACACAACTTGTGCATCTAAACAATTATTTTGACTTTTGTAACTATTCCTGTATATTTATCACGTTCATATCTGTTAGTAATCCTGCATCTGTGAAAAACCTCAGCTGCAAAAAGACAGTACAGAAAAAAAGTTTGAGAGGGAAGAAATGAACAGAAGGAGGATAAAGAGGTGAGGATAAGGTAAGTTGACTAAATTATCCTCAATACCATCTCCTTTTTTAAAAATTAGGTTTATAATAGATTATATTAAAATTGTAGATCAACAGATTGTAAATACATATGAAGAAATGTATTGTTGCCGTAAATAAATTAAATGTGATTTCTTTTTGGCCGCCAGCTCTACTGTTTTTAGTATCAGAAATTTATATTTGCTGTTTTACTATTGTTTTGTTCTGAACTACTTTTCATTGACCTCGACTGGAGGTGGAACACTTGCATTATGATCTGCATTGCATTGTCCTGTGCAATGTTTATACATGTGCCATGAAAGTGATTTGCAGCACCTGGCAACACCCTGTTTCCTTTAGCTGGAACCTTATAGCTCACTGGATTGGCTCATTTTGATATAATGGGGAGGGGGGGGATGAATGGTAGTGAACTATCCCTTAGTCTAATTCTGTTCCTCCCACTCCACCAGAAGGCACCTTATTGTTTCTGGGTGATCTGGCTCCCTCCCCTTTTCTAAACAAAGCAGAACTGAGGAGGAAAAGCATCTGTTATCACCTCCCCTTAGATTCAGAGAATCACTGAATTGGAAGGGGCTATTTAGTCCACTGAGCCCAGTCCTCTGCCCAGAGCAGGAATTCAAGTGAAAGCATCCCCAACAGATGGCCATTCAATCTCTGCTTGAATGCATCCGGTGAAGGGCAGCCCACCACCCCTTTCAGCGATTGGCTCTACTGGCTCTGCTGGCACTCTTTCTAACAAGTGTCTAGCTGCAATGAGGAGGAGGAGGAGGAGGAGGAGGAGGAGGAGGAGGAGGGGGAACAGCAGCGGATGGCCCCATGCCCAGCACGCTACAGAAACCTGGAGACCCCCTGCCTAACTTTTCTAGGTGACACTTTGGAGGCTGCTTCCTCATGGAAGTCACAGTGCAATCCTGGAAAGTGCACTTGGGAGGATCCCTCCAAACTGTGCTCTAATGTAGAGCTTGTCTGCCCTTCACATAAGTGAGCCTATGCATCTAACAGCATTATCTGTTAAAGCAGAATGTAGAAAATGCTACTTTTTAGTTACAGTGATGCAATCTTAAGAAAAGCTTTAGTTCATGTATGTCCATATCCCAAACTACTTTTACATGTGCAGAAATGCACAGGAGAGTCACTTTTCAGAGCTAGATGGAGAAGGGGGAAGAGGGCATATAAATTTATTAAATAAACTTGTCTGCCCTCCCAGGAACACTATCATAGATTCACTATGAATCTACTTGGCACCTGAGTCTTAAAACCGCCAACTTTGCAAACTGTAAGAGAAGAAGTCGAAAGCATTCTAGAAAGAAAAAAAAAATACTTGCTTTTATACACTCACAAAATGCAATGAGAGAAGAGGTTAGTGACAGAGCACCTATTGGTCAATCAGAAGGTTGTGTCTGCTCTACTTTCAAAGAATGTCCACCAACAGGGAAAACAACTTTCCCTGGACATCTCCTGTTGCTGGTTGCCATGAACAAAACTGAATTATATGGACAACTGAGGCTCCCTGGAAAAATCCCCATGATTTCTGCCAGGGTCCTTAGACCATGCTACCTGGTGACCAAGACACCAGGAGGCTATTTCAAAGGTAAGTGGTATAATTAGCCTAATTATTTACAATCTGAGGCCAATAGTGTGCCCCCACCCCAGATGAATTTTCTGATGCTACAGCTGCACTTGTCATTAAAACTGAGGATTGAAAGGGCAAGCTGTGAAGTCTGGCCTACAAAACCTTTATCTATTTCATTTATTAGATTTTTATCCTGCCTTTGTTACTTTATAAGTAATTCAAGGCAATGGACATACCCGTATTTTTCAGAGTATAAGATACACTTTTTTCCCTCCTAAAAGAGGCTGAAAATTTGGGTGCGTCTAATACTCCGAATATAACCCCACCCACCCGCCGGCCCCCACCAATTGGCCTCTGCGCATCCTCTTCCTGGCTGCAGAGATTGCCACAGACAATCGCTTGCATTTTTGGGATCTGCGCATTGTGTTTTCAGCCTCCAAACGCTCCATTTGAGAGCCCTTCAAGGCTGCGGGTATTGCCAAAGCACATTGCCACCGATCGCTGCCTGAAAACGCAACATGTTTGGAGGCTGAAAACGTGATGCACGGTGCCCAAAATGGCTACCTGGAACAGCTGCTGCCTTCTCTTACCCCTTCTATGCTTCTCCTGCTTTAGTCACTGGAGCTCCCTCCGACGATCAGCTGTGTTTCTTAGCCCCAACCTCAAAACCAGTGAGCGAACTAATGTGCTGAAGCTGACCAGGCTAAGGACATTAGCCAGATGAATAACTGGTAGGCAGAATTTTTTCCCCCTATTTTCCTCCCCAAAAACTAAGGTGCGTCTTATACTCCGGTGCATCTTATACTCCAAAAAAATATGGTACTTACTACTCCTTCCTCCTCTTCTTTTCTCCCCTCAACAATAACCCCATGAAGTGCATTGGGCTGAGAAAGAGCGACTGGATTGAAGTCACCCAGCCAGCTTTCATTACTAAGGCAGGACTAGAACTCACAGTCCCCCAGTTTCTAAACCAGCACCTTAGCCACAACACCAAACTGTTGCCACTAGCACTGGGTCTGGATGCAGCTC